CTGCATGAGCACACTGCATGCTGTATGAGCACACTGCAGCTGCATGAGCACACTGCATGCTGTATGAGCACACTGCAGCTGTATGAGCACACTGCATGCTGTCTTACTGCATTTAAATATTTATGTTTTATACATTTTATCTGATAACTGTAGTGGCATAAGCCAGAGGTAGTTGAACCCCGGGGACACGTTTGAGCAGGGCTGTGACGCACGATGGCGGACTGGGAGTCTGCTTGGAGCGTCAACCTGCCGGCTGTCCGTTCCGGGCTGTTCCGGGCTGTTCCGGGCCGTTCCGGGCTTCCAGAGATGGTCGTCTCTGCAGTCAGACCAGAAGCTTCCTCTGGTCTGACTGCTGTTGGCTGGCAGGGAGGTGAACTGGAGCTAATGCCACACTCAGCAGGCAGTAGAATTCCTGGTGGTTTGTATGGAACGTATGTGATCAAGAGGTTTCCTTTGTGATGATGGTGTTCTATTTGGAAAGGAATTTCCCTGAAATACTCCCAGCTGATAATCAACGATTAATTTAAATTATACTGCATGTGCCTGATTTGGTATTAGCAGCAAAAAAATATATGCTAAAGAACTGAATTATTAGTAGTAGATGTTTTTCATGTTTTTGTGTCAGTTATTAAAGTCCATCCAAATGTTAGGTTGAAGGATTTAGCCGGTTTGATAAACACTGACCGGTTGGGTTAGGAAATCCCCTTTTTTCAGATCTGGTGACCTTTCTGACCTTGTGTAGAAGGGATGTGAATCTACTAAATGGATGTGAATCATTTTTCAAGGGGGCTGAGACAAAGAATACAGTGGCTGAAGCCCCTCAAAATCGGGTCACCTGTGGGGCGTCTATGCTTTTGCCCCCCCCCCCCCCGACTGGCTGGCTGATTACAGGGTGTCAGAAGGTCCTCTGGATCCTCGTGGAGGTGCCAAGCAGTACAGCCAAATACAATCCTACATATGCTGCACGTCTGCGGAGGAGGAGCGCACGTGATGGGAGCGCACGTGATGGGAGCGCACGTGATGGGAGCGCACGTGATGCTTGTAGGGCGCCTTGAGAAGAACAACTTTGTGGGTTCAGTCGTCTTTCGGCCACCTGGAACAGACGCCGACTTTAGAAGCTGCTGAGGAGAGGAGCTGTCTCGATAATTTCCATTTTATCTTCCTCAGTGAGACACCCATAGTTGTCTGAGGAGGTTTATTTTTTTCTTCTACAGACAAAACATTGGGGTGGGGGGTGGATTTTGCACTAGACAGGGCTTGAAGAACACGTCCCAGGCTGATGCGACAGCGGCGTGAGCGGATTTCCCCCAGTGCCTTCGCTGACCGCTTCCTGTTCGCTGCTGCAGGGGGGATAAGCCATCATTGGGTTTCGAAATGCTTTTCAGACTCACTGTGTATGTCGTGCTAAATTCAGCCATCAGGGTGTTATCCTTGGATGCCTGAAAAGCTCTGTAAACTACTGTTGGTTGAAGCATCTTATTTAAGTGTCCAAGAATCACTTCAGTGTCCTGAGCTCTCTGGCCTTTCGTTCATGTTCTTCAGAAGGGTGAGGTCCTCAGATCAACTGAAGCGTCGGCTTTGGTCCTTCTCCCTAAAACTCCTTCACAAAAAATAAAGATCATCGGGCTGGCTGTAGTTATGTAATCCGGATGATCTGTATTGCCCCCTGAGTCTGTGGAAGGAGGTTCATATGTAGGGTCTTAAAAGTTGACCTTTTTAATGCTGAGTAATACTCCACATGAAAGGGAAATGCGTCAGACCTCCTCAGTCGGCTTCATGAAGGCCGCAGTAAAACTGTATACGAGGCGCAGGAGTGATTCATCTGGCTGCCAGGTTGATGCTGAGTCACAGGAGCTGCCAGCGAGCGTCACAGTCACTGTCTGCAGCGGTTTCCTCTCCTTTCTGTGAGATTGGCACTGGAACTTTTCACTAAGGTTAAGCTGCCCTTGTCTCTCTTAACAGAATCCAAGGAAAATGACTCAGAGCAGGAATTCCCACACACGCTGAGGGATTGGGACCCATGTGTCAGGAGGACCAGGGAAGGATTAATGGTTTTCAGCTCAAGGCCGATTCATTATCCGGTCGGAGACTGACGTTGATTCCAAAGGTTTCCAATTTCTAGATTGCATACTCTCGTTTAGCACCTGTCACGTGATACCGTGGTCTGTTGGATTAATTTGTCAATGAGTTTGAGAATTAATCTATAGCTATGCTTGAGCTTGCATTTGTAGACAAATTAGTGGCACCAGTATTCCTCGTCCATGTTGGCTGTGGTCAGTTAATGGCTGGTTCCCGGTTTGTTCATGGTTTTTCAGTTGGCTGTCATTCATATTCTGTATTTGATCTTTGATCAGAATGACTTGGAGTATATTCTCTAATCTACTGGAGGAGTCACCATCTCCACAGGGGCTGCTTTGTGAGCCTTGGGTGTAGCTTGAGCTTTGGCTGTGTCATCCTCTGAGTCACATGACATGCTGTGACTGTCACATGACTTCCCGTTTAGCTCAGCCTCTAGGTCAACAATGGCTTAGTGATGTAAGTCACTGTCAGACAATGTTTGTATTCATAAACTTTGATGAGTTGGTCACTTTAAAATTCATTGACTGCAAATTTCGAACTTCTGTATTTATGTTTTGTCTTTTTCTTTGTGTTTGCCGGCTGTTTGCAGCCACGCATTTATATTAAAAGAAAAATGATCTGGAAGTTGAATTTAAAAAAATTTTACTAGAAATATTCAAGGGTGCAAATATTGACTAAAATGTCGTCAAGATATCTTCTGTTTCAAAACATACATGTCATTTATGTCATTTCTTGAATTTCAATGTAAAATGTTTGTAATCTATACATTTGTCTCCTGTTCACACTGGTGAAAATATTACTGATACTTTGTCCAGTGTTACATACTGCATTCTGTGCGTTCTGATGGCTGGATTACCCTGAGAAGACAATTTTACTGATAAGGTCAGGATCTTGTGGTTTGGGTTTAGCAAATCATGACTGAGATCTAAGTGCATTAAGACCTCTAAAGATCTTGGGGGCCTGTTTGTTCTGAAAGCTCTGCGACATCCTTTCAGTTGTGACTCTTTGCTCTCAATCTCTGTCTGAAGTTTCACATCGAGACTCAGTTATTCCGCAGTTTAACTCGAAATAAACTACGCTGGGAGCCAGTGGCCTATATATCTTGAAATTAAGTTTGATAGGGATCTAATGGTCAAACAATCACGTTTGAGAGGAATATCTGTGGAAAAATAATGGACTATAAAAGTCAGAAAATAAAACACATCGAGAGGCAACTAAAACTGCTCCTAACTCTGCTGTGGCTAAACATCACCAGCTGCTTCTGAGCTATGCTAAGCTACGCTAAGATACGCTAAACTACGCTAAGATATGCTAAGCTATGCTAAACTACGCTAAACTACGCTAAACTGAGCTCATTAACTACCCAGCTATCAACTGATATTACTGAAGGAATAGAGTTGTAAGACTTCTTGTTTTATTGGGTGTTCATGTGAACAAAATTACACATTATAACTAGCTGGCTGTTATTATTGGGAAAACAGAAAGGGGTGTCGAATGTAGTTTGACGTTTTTTCCGAGATTCTCCCCTTCTTACATTAATATGCTCTATTTAATAAGCTTAGAGCTGAGTACTATTTGAGTCCAAGTCTTGGACCCGTAGAATCCAAACCTCAGTTTCAAGCTTATCAAGTCCGAGTCACGGAAATTGAGACTCACGTTTGACTCGAGTTCAAGTCCTGGGTTCGAGTGCTACAGTACTGGTCTCTGCAGCGGCATCTTTAATCCAGAGTCAGCAACAGTCAGTCTGACACAATGTGAAGCGTAAATTTTGATGTTTTCTTTCTTTCTGAAGAACTTTACCCTTAAAGTCACGTGAAGCAGTGAGTTAATAACATCCCCACTATTGTCACACGGGATCGTCACTGAGCGCTGACGTTCGCTCGCTGACCTCGCCGGTTAGCGATGCCCGTCCTCGCTGCCATTGGATCCCGCCTTTGGGCTCCTTGTTTCACACAACGCCCACGGTGCCAGACACTGCCGAGTGTCTGTCACTGAGGTCACCGCAGTGTCCTTCAAGGAGCCTTGGTGTCTCCTACCAGTGTAGAATAGATGCAGTGAGCTGGTGGCAGGGTTTTTTATGGCAGCACTTAATTGGAGCAGTGTAGTGCAGTGTATCTCGCTGCTGGGCTCATCCATGCGTGTGCTGTTAAGGCTGTATGCTGTGGTACGTGCTTCAGCTACCGCTAACATGAATAGACTGCCACGGTAATGCTATGCAGACAGACAGCTTGTATGTCTGTCAGCCACGGTCGGCTCAGGTCCTCCTCTCCAAAGCAATGCAGTGCAGCTCGATATGGCGTCACCCCCGAAGACAGCAGCGAATTAACAGCTGTTCTAACCCAACAGAAATGATAGACTGGTGTTTGTCGATCGGCGAGAAAGTCCATGAAGCTCACCAACCCCTCACCCCTCTTAGCAATGCAGCAGGTCCTGGACAACCTGGGTGACCTGCCCTCATCTGCTGGGGCCAAGGACATCGACCTCATCTTCCTCCGCGGCATCATGGAGAGCCCCGTCGTTCGCTCCCTTGCCAAGGTAACCATGGGACACCCCCCCCCCCCCCGAATACGAATTTGCCTCAAACGATTTAATGCTGTGATGTCTGCTCCTATATCTCACCATGAACACTGCAAACACATGCGTGTGTCGGCGCCCCCTCTGGCGGTACACGCTTACAGTTTGGAAGGTGCCTTTTGTAATATAATAATTCTCAGCTCCTGGGCAAAATGCTGAGCCTCTGCCATTGAACTGCTGCCCAAGTTGCGTTACAGTAACAAGAAACCATCTGAATACCGTCCAGAAGGCCGGGGAAGTTCGCTAAGTGACTGGTATGAAGGCAGGGCAGCACAGTTGTAGGATTCCTTGGCTCTGATTGTAAGCTAGGGCATTAGCTTAGCCTAGCATTAGCTTAGCCTAGCGTAAGTATGTTAGCAGCGCATTGCTGTTATTCAGGCACCATATGAAACGCAGCGCAATGGATTGACTTTGTAGCGTGCAGGATGTAATTCTTTTGAGACGATGTGAGATTCATTAGTATTGTAGTCACGGTTACGCGCTACCGTGGAGACGGATACTTCGGGTAGATGAGTAATGCACTGCTGCTTGGCAGTGATGAATTACGAGTGACAGAGATGTGACCTCGCTGGGCGCGATGCTCTCCTGTGACACGTTGGAGCCTCAGAGATGGGAGATCGAGGGCTAGGGACTGGGATCGTCATGACTTCACTGCGTTGGGGTGCTAAGGGCTAGGGACTGGGATCGTCATGACTTCACTGCGTTGGGGTGCTAANAGGGCTAGGGACTGGGATCGTCATGACTTCACTGCGTTGGGGTGCTAAGGGCTAGGGACTGGGATCGTCATGACTTCACTGCGTTGGGGTGCTAATTGTTCTTCTGGTCATCTCCGGAACCACAAATGGTCACAGAACTGTTCCCTTAAGGGACCTTCCACGGGGAACGGTGTTGACTGTGTGGGAGAGGTGTAATAACAGTGCCTGTGTGTAGCTTGAGCTTTGGCTGCGTTGGGTCATGGTGCAACAGTGTACAGGAACTCTGCTGACCTTGCCCGCAAGCTCTGAGCCGACCTTAATGTGGTGGGGCAAGATTAAGCAAGATTACGACCAGATTGTGTGGCTAAATATAGTGTTTGTAATGGATCCGAACCCCTGTGTATGTCTGTGTCTCTCATTAAAAGCCCCATAAAATCTGATGAGGAAATACTGTTTCGACAGTTTGAGGGTTATGCTATCAATGGCTGTCGACTCTCACACCCCCCGACCCCCACCCCCCCCACCCCCGGCCCTGGTTCCGGACAGGCTCACGAGCGATTGGAGGACGTCAAGCTGGAGGCCGTGCAGGATAGCAATGTGGAACTGGTGTCGGAGATCCTCGGGGACATCAGCGGCTTGAGCGGCAGAGACGACAGTGCGGCAGAGCTCTCCCAGATCCTCAAGGAGCCTCACTTTCAGGTGTGTGTGGGGGGGGCAGGTTTCTGCTGTCCGAGCTTCAGCCCGGCTTCTCTCCTCGCTGATCTTACAACACGCCGTGAGCTTGCTGGCTGGAGCTGAGGAGACGGGCAGTGGGAGGGGTGTGGAATGCAGCAACTGAGGGGCGATTCTGTCTCGGGGTGAAATCTCATGATGGATGATACTGAGCTCTGCTGTATTCTGAGTTTTCCAGTAACCAGCAAATCAAAGATTAACACTTCTGAGATGTTTAATGAAAGGGAGGACTGGACTTGACAGATCACGCTGCTTTGAATGGAAATCTGGAGCATGTGCAGACAACTTTGGCACAGAGTGAGAGAGAGTGAGCGAGCAAGCTGCCTTAGGCCACGACTCCTCCCTCAGGCTGAATGTACTCGCTTGGGACCAATCAGAGGAAGAGCCCGGGGGAGTTCTTTTTCTGTAGCCAATCGGATCAGCGGCCTATCAGGGGATTCACCCCACTCCAGTTATAAGCTGAAATGTGTGGTTTAAGCTGTCGGATAAGACCTTAGTGACCTAGAGTCGGTCTGGGAGCTCCAGTGCAACAGATGCGTGTGTGTTTTGAGGGCTAATGAATGCAAATCTTGCACTATGGCTACAGCGGTGAGAACAGTAGTTCTTTTTTTTCCCCTCCGCCTTCGTTCAGTACATTAAATCCATAAAATTTTTGTTGGGTCATTCAGCAACTGCAGAGCAGCAATAGCGTAAAACTGAGAGTTGTAGTTTAGAGATGTTTTCCTGGTACACGCATGTGTCTGTCGCTGCAGACTGGCCTTGCAGGGACAAGTCGTGACTCTCGCTGTTTCTCGCCCGGTGTCCAGTCGCTGTTAGAGGCCCACGATATTGTGGCTTCCAAGTGCTACGACTCCCCGCCCTCCAGCTCGGGGCCTGAGGACGACGCGGCTGTGATGAGCAGCCCGCCGGTGCAGGCCGACGCCATCAGGATGATCGGCATCCGGAAGAAGGCGGGGGAGCCGCTGGTGAGTGCCGGCCTGCTGCCGTTAGATGGATGGATGGATGGATGGATGGAGAGACAAAGAGGGCTGCTGACTCAGTTCCTGGTGATTTTGTAAAGCCTTGAACCGTGTTTGTTTTAAGTAAAGATGGTGAAAACATGAATATTATACCAACAGCAGCTGTTATGCACCAGTCTGAATGATCTGATGCTTTATATGCCGGAACTTTATTAGTTCAAGTATGAGTACTGCTATGTGGGAATTCCTTAGCTTTTGCAAATCTCATCTTTCTCTTCTTTGAGACATAAGCACACACGGGTAAAAGCGACACACAGATCAGCCCATTCTTCTGCCACCCCTGGAGCATCTTACGGGTGACTATTCTGCCGAGTATGGGAATTGAACTAGCGACCATCTGATCGCAGGCACCCAGGTCTAATCTGCTGAGCAACAAACCATCTCCCTACTTCACTCTTTCCACCAGTGTCAGTTTGATAAAGATCAACCTTCTATCTCTGTGATGAAACCCCAGCTGTTTTATGGTGTGATTGAGTGTGTTTTCAGTGATTTTTGGCTATGACATTTCCGGACAATAATGGTGATAGAGCTTGAATTGCTCTGTATATTGAGGTTTTTACGTGATTATGACTGTTTGAGTGTTTGTGTCCCTGCGATGGGTTGGCCCTCGTTTTGGGTTGTTCCCTGCCTTGTGCCCGTAGTCTCCGGGAGATCCGGACCCCCCGCGACCCTGAATAGGATAAGCGATTTCAGAAACTGGGTGGATGGATGGATGGATGGAGTGTGTGTGTGTTGTGCGAAATGGAGGTAACTTATTGTTTGATTTTTTTTTTAGGGTGTGACGTTTCGGGTGGAGAAGGACGAGCTGGTTATCGCCCGCATCCTGCACGGCGGCATGATAGACAGGCAGGGCCTTCTGCACGTGGGCGACATCATCAAAGAGGTGAACGGCCGCCATGTGGGCAGCAACGCCGCAGAGCTGCAGGAGCTGCTGAAGGAGAGCAGCGGCAGCGTTACTCTCAAAATCCTGCCCAGCTACAGGGACGCCCCGGCCCCTGCGCAGGTCAGACGCGCATGAGCATGCGCACGCGCACGCGCACGCGCACACGCACTGACACGCGTCTCTCTGCTCCTGTTTCCGGAGCCCTTCTCATCGACTTCTGTCTATTGTTTCAATGTACTTCATCATTCCCTGAATACAAATGCAAATCAAAACAAATTGTTAAAAAAATAAAAAAAAGAAAGAAAGAAAAAAAACCCCAGGAATTATCGTAAAAAAAAAAAAGGAAGATGAAGATGAAGATTTGAAAAAACGTCTTATTTTGTGGGGATGTCTTCCGAACTCATTTTTTTGCATTCTTGTTTTGGGAACTTTTCTCCAAATTCTGCTTAAAAAAGTTGTAGATAGACAGCAAGAGAGAGAGAGAGAGAGAGTGAGGCACGCATGGTGAAGACGCGCTCAGGCCACTTTCAGAGCAGCGTGACCCCGCTGGAGGGGCATCGTTGGTAGTTTTGTTCGTCCTTTTATCGATCTTTTAAAAGCGTTCAGCTGCAGGCCGAGGAGAGTTAGGGGACAGTGTGCCGAGGATGGTGGACGAAAATAGTCCGACGTCAACAGGTTGTCATCTAGGGTGGGGGCCTGGTGTGCATGTAGAGACACATTAGCACATGTTAGGCCTCTGCCATCTCATAGGGTCAGCAGGGGTCATGACCCCTGCAATGCTGTGCCTTCCTTCGATGAATTTGTGTGCCTCTCACGTACGCCACCCTGCCGTGCTGCTAGGAGTCACTCAAACGCTCTGTGACTGTGTGACGGTTGGGTTTGTTTCGCCAAAACCTCCCTTCGAACTGAGGACATCTTTAGATGCCGAAGTGTTGGCATTGGTTGGCTTTTAGCAGTGTTTAAAAAATCAACTCTCAAATCGATATGGGTCTCGGAAGGAACTCTAAGAAATAAGCATGTATATGAAACAATATAGGGGCATTATGGGTAAACTACCTGTCAGGACCCGGCCATACGTGACCTTTATAGGGCAGAGGTCATTCCTTTGGCTGTTCGCCTTCTCAGTTTGGGGTTCGACCTACGAACCATCATTCATAATGCAATGCTGCTGAGCATGTTGGCATTTAGATCGTCGTCTTGTTTGCTTACATGGGCAGAGGTACCATCTGCTTGTGCCACAGTGTCTCTCTCCTTCTCCCGCTCGCACTCAGCTCACCCCGCCTGCCTCGCTCTGCTACGTTTTGGTCCTTCGGGGTGGGGGTGGGGGGGGGAGGTAGGGCGTTTTAGAAGGTAAGACTCACTGTATTCCGAAGGAGGCCCAGAATGTCGAGTGATTGAAACGGGACACGGAAATCCCTATTAATAACAGTCGGTGTGCTATGTGGGACACAGCAGGGGGGTGAGAGTGGCCCTTGAGGAGTTGGGCTGTGGATCCCGGGCCCCCCCCCCCCCGCTGATGTCGCTGTGCCAGGCTGACACGCCCACAAACCATGCACTGCAGCTGCAGTACAGTTGTCTCTCTTGCTAGCGCCTAGATATGCCTGCTAACACACGCATGCATGCGACATTTTGGCCAGCTGTCCACGTCCCTGCGAACTCATCTGTCCTCTGGGATTAACTAAGCCCCACTTAGTTAGAAGCTGGGTTCTTGTTAAAGGACTGAAGCAGGCCCCTGTTTAATGAAAACGGATAACGATGAGGAGCACCTCTTACAGGAAGTGTTTCCAGACACCAGACATGCCTTCATCAAGACTAATTGCCCTTATGAATAATAGATGATGATAATGTTACCAAGTAACGGCTTCAATTTTGATCTCGGCACCACGAAAGTGGTGATCTTCCTGCCCGTTCGTTAATTTGATTTGCTTCAATAAGCGCTTCCAGAATTTGTACATTTAACGGGAGGTGACACATGAGAAGGACCACTGCCCTCCCATCCAGCAGCTGTCACCGTGGGTGAATGGCACGGAGACGTGACCTAGCAATGGGATATCGAGTGTCAGGGCCAGAGACCTGGAAATAGCGTGATGCTGCGACTCGCCGCCGTGACGTTTTAAGGAGGGGAACTCTAGCGCCCCCTAGGTGTGGAGGACGATGGGGATCACGGCTCGGAAAATCCCGAATTTGCTCAGAGACTCAAGGAATGATTTCAGTCGCAGAGTTGCATACTGGTTGGTCAAAGCAAAATCTTGGTCTGGATTTTTACGTTCTGAACCTGAACTTATCTACCTCTGCTGATTATAATGGTCAGGATCATATAGCATCCCTGACAGTTCCTCTCTACCCATCATATTTATGTCCTTTAACAGGGTTCCAGTCAGCTCTGTATTTTAGAGCATCTTTTAAGTGCATCATCCCAGACCTGTGACCGTCTGTTTATGAATAATATTTTCTGTAATTTTTTTATTTATTATTTCTTTTCTAAAATGTACATTTTCTTCTACCAATATGTGACTGACATAAATTAACATATTAATTGCATCAAAATTCAGAAAAATTCAGAAAAGATCAGGTCGTCCTTACAGATGTATCTGGACAATGTGATTTTGCAGAGGTCTAGTCAAGATATTACCGAATCTAAAATGTTCTCTTTTGTTTTTCTTATCTACCTTACCCAGAATGCCCTGCTCCTACTCGTTGGCGTGAGTGAGGAGGATTGGTGGAAAAACGTTCCCCCATTTCTTTTAAAAGCTCTGCGTTTCCCATAATCAGTGGTCAGTTTGATTCATGCGGGTCTCTTGTGACTCACAGGTGTACGTAAAGCCACACTTCGACTACAACCCGTCAAAGGACAGTCTTATTCCCTGCAAGGAGGCCGGCCTGGCCTTCTGCAGGGGTGATATACTTCAGATCGTCAACAAGGAAGATCCCAACTGGTGGCAGGTGAGCCAGATGTCAGTCTGCTTGCTGTTAGGATGGAGATCTGTGGCCTGTGCTACGAAGCGGGTTACTGGCTTATCGGGGTAACTTGTCGGATTTAAGGTAGTCTGGGCAAAATGTAAGTGAACGATTATAAAGTCCATTTAAACTGTGGTACCTTAAATCCGACAAGTTACCCCAATAAGCCAGTAACCCGCTTTTGTAGTACAGGCCACTGGTTAGAGGCCCTGTGCTGACCAGTACCCTCCGGTTTATATTACCAAAACACATAATGTCTTTATGCTTTCTACATATCAAAGGTTAAGATGGAGTTGAGATATATGTGGGTAGATCTCGTTTCAGCCAACCTACCCCAGAGCAGATGAATATATATGGATTTTTAGGTATAGCACCTGCCATCCAGAGTCTTCCTCTGAAGTCTCTCTTCCTCTTATAGGCATGTCACGTTGTAGGCGGGGCAACTGGACTTGTCCCCAGTCAGTACCTGGAGGAGAAGAGGAAGGCTTTTGTCCCAAAAGACTGGGATGATTCGGGTAGGTTCAAGATGTCATTTTTTTTTCCACAGAAAATGAATGTTTTTCTTGCACAGAAATCTATTTTTGCTTCTGTTCCAACCCATTCTTAGTGTTTCTTAATGTCTCCCCTTCTCCTGGCTTGAGAAAACCAGTTGCAACTGGTTTCACCGATTGTACTCTTGGGTATGAGCCATCAGCGAAGACCAAGTGCTCCCTCTACTGGGCAGTAAGAGCATTAACACTCATGCGTTATTCTCAGGGATGCTGTGCGGGGCGATGAGCGGAAAGAAGAAGAAGAAGATGATGTACTTGATGGCACGAAATGCAGGTGGGTGCTGGGATGCCGTGTCACATGACCTTCCTTGGAAGCTCCCTTTTAGCAGCAGTAACGGGTTAGCATTGTCTGTAAACATGCGCCAGAGTTCGACCGACACGAGCTGCTGATCTATGAGGAGGTGACCAGGATGCCCCCGTTCCAGAGGAAGACGCTGGTCCTGATCGGAGCGCAGGGAGTGGGCCGGCGCAGCCTGAAAAACCGACTGGTCGTGCTCAACCCGAAACGCTTCGGAACCACTGTCCCCTGTAAGATCCTGCCGACGGCCGATTGTGGATTTCTCTAGAATTACACAGAGATTATACTCACATGGGACGCCAGGAAAATGACCAGGTTACACAGCAACAACAGCAACAGCAATAACACATCAAGACAATAATAACAATAATAACAGTTATTATTATCATCGTTAGCATCGTTATTATTGTTATTATTATTATTTAGCTGCTTATTTTATGTATATTAGTGGAAGGTACAATTTTCCAAATGAATTTACATGGTTGGATATTTTTCTGAAGCATAGTCAATGGTCTTGCTTAAACAAAAGATATTGCGGCCCAATTTTAAGATGTCAGTCAGAATTCGACCAGAATTGACCAGCTTCCCTTTCTGCCTCCCAGTCTTTGTCACATTGCTATAGTAACAGGACTTGACTGGCCACAGAATGCGTAACGGCTTGGTATGTCCATGTCTTCTTAAATGTCGGGGGCGGGGCGCACGTTTTCTTTTGGTTTCTGTGGTTTCATTAAATGAGGCAGCTGTTCTCTCCCTCAGTCACCAGCAGGGGGCCCCGGAACGACGAGCGGGATGGACACTCGTACCGCTTCGTGACGCGGGCGGAGATGGAGGCGGACATCAAGACGGGCCAGTACCTGGAGCACGGAGAATACGACGGGAACCTTTACGGAACCAAGATAGACTCCATCCATGAAGTGGTGAAAACTGGACAGACCTGCATCCTGGACGTCAACCCTCAGGTCAGAGCAGAACCAGAACCTCTGGATTGTTCTTCAAACTGGACTCCTTGTTCCCTGTCACTGAGAACCACACTGGTCTTTAATTATTTCCTGAATTATTTACCAATGTCTAGAGTACGCAGTAAGTTATCACTCACATAATCAGAATGAGCTTAATTTTCACAGTGAGCATACAATTTGCTTTCTTGTGTTTGATCCCGGCATTAAAATGGAACTGAATGCAAAGACATGACATACAGCAGATGAATACAACAAGTAAACATGCTGCTCACAACTACTGCTGCACATTTAACCAGGAATGATGTCATGGGCTTTGCTATACAGTTTCTATAATTTTGGAGTAAAATCAATACAGAGCCACAGACATACAACTCTAAATAATAATAAGTTTCCTTGTCCGTCGAAAAATGATTGGTCACGGTGCACGTTTAATGTAGTTCAGTCTCCCAACCCAGTCCTTGGGGACCCTCATGTAGTCCACATTTTTGCTCCTTCCCAGCTCCCAGCCAATCAAGAACACCGAGTACCTGGAAGGGGTGTGTTGGGAGCTGGGAGGGAGCAGAAACGTGGGATCCTCGAGGACTGGGTTGGGAAACTCTGCTGTAGATACTTGTCTTGCCGCCTTGGTGATTTACAGGCCTCTTCCCGCCTGTTCGCAGGCCCTGAAAGTTCTGCGGATGCCCGAGTTCATGCCGTACGTGGTGTTCATCGCCGCGCCGGAGCTGGAGACACTGCGGCTCATGCACAAGGCGGCGGTGGAGGCGGGGCTCACTGGCAAACTGCTCACGGTCAGTGCCGGGCTGGGTCAGGCCAACTGCGATCCTGCACTGGATGAGTGGATATGGGAAATGGGTGGGTGGAAATGATCAGAAATCTATTTTAGTTTATCTGCAGGTATGAAGGGAAATCAGCTCGCTGCTGGGAATGGCAAACTTTTTTGTTGCATGCGTCGCTATAAATATACCCTTTGCTTTGAAGCTTCAGATCTGACATGGGGTGTGAATAAGAAAATGGGCAGAGATGCCACTTCCCGGCAATATGCTCTTTCACGCTGCTGATGTGAATCCCTAATAGCCTGTTCGGTATTAAAGAGAAAGTAAGGCTTAGAAATTGTATTTGTTCAGTTAATTAAGTTTTAACATTTAATGAGATGTGTTTAGCTGTACACTTGTGGTAGCTGCATCCTGTCTTCTTCAAATGTCGATAGCCTTGTGCTCGTAGCCTAGGGAGAGGAACCCCCTGCCACCCTGAACTGGATAAGCAGTTAGAGAAGATGGATGGATGGATGGATGGATGGATGGAAATGTCAGCATTAAATTTGTCAGGAAAATATGAACTGTGGCATCAGTTATCAAAGGTTCCCCTGAACAAAGACAAAATGGACTGGTCATGCAAATAAAAGTCCTGGGGCTGAAAATCAGTCCCACTATATGCCTGCCCCCCTCCCCATATGAAACCAGGTGGTACTGGGCAGTGAAGTTTGTTTGTCACTTGGGTCATGACTGGACCTGAGGAAGAGTTCAGGTGTAACGCTACTCTCGATTAAAAATAAAACACTTTATGGCTTGTTGAGAGTCTCCTCCTGTTTGTCCTCTCAGGACATGGATCTTAAGAAGACTGTGGACGAGAGCGCGAGGATCCAGAGAGCTTACCGGCACTTCTTTGACTTGACGATTGTCAACGACAATCTGGACCAGGCCTTCGAGAAACTCTTGGCTGTGGTGGACCGGTTGGCCAATGAGCCGCAGTGGGTCCCCGTTAGCTGGGTCTACTGAGTGGAGCCTCCTTCAGGGAGTCAATGGGCGCACTTCCTGGAGACCGTATACTCACACGATTGGACGAGGTAATGGGGGTTAAGCCCCGCCCACCCATAGCCCCGCTCCCTGTGTTAAAGGGCCACACTCAGTGTACATTATCAGCAACTTTTTCTACTTATGCTCAAAGGGATAAAGAATACTTATTTATTTTAATATTTACAGCTTTTTACTGGGTAACTTTATATTCATCAACTTGAAATTTAAAACAAGTGAATTTGGATGCTACTGTTTTTTATTTATTGTTTGTATTATAGCTGTTAATCAGCTGAAGCCAAAAATTTTGTCTTGCAACAGACTTTTGAGAATAATATATATTGGTACGTCTAAAATTGATCACTTGTTGGAGAACAGTACACTACAGTACCTTAGGGGTTCAGTACCCTAACTGTGACTAAATCACAAGACAGTCCTTTATGGTCGCTACTCCCCTTCCTGTGTGTACCAGTCTCTGACTGTACACCAAACTGGACCAGAATCCGCACCATTACAGAAGCTTCTCCGTGTGGAAAGGACTCATTTTAATACTTCTTTTGCCCTAGGCAGAGTAGAGAACATTGTGTGTGATTTGTCCTGCTTGTTTGTTGACATTATGGTTTTTAGCTTGTTTACAATATCTGTTGCTTTTTGTGTTTGGATGCAACATTTTCTTGGTGACCCTTTACTTAATATGTATGTGATTTGGGTTTAAATGTTGCCATTCCCATTCTCTGGTAGTGGTATTCCTTTAATAATGATAATATAACCCAGTGTTTCCCAGTCCGGTCCTCAGGGATTCCTAGCCAGTCCACGTTTTTGCTCCCTTTCAGCTCCCAGACGGTCCAGGTTTTTGCTCCCTCTCAGCTCCCAGATGGTCCAGGTTTTTGCTCCCTCTCAGCTCCCTGCCAGACAGTTTATGTTTTTGCTCCCTCTCAGCTCCCTGACAGTCGGTCCACGTTTTTGCTCCCTCTCAGCTCCCTGACAGTCGGTCCACGTTTTTGCTCCCTCTCAGCTCCCTGACAGACGGTCCACGTTTTTGCTCCCTCTCAGCTCCCTGACAGACGGTCCACATTTTTGCTAAAAACATGGACTCTCTGGGGTCCTCCAAGGACTGAGTTGGGAAATGCCATCATTTGTTTATGACCTTTGATTTCGGAGCATTTTAACGTTCTGTCAGTGTGTTTACATTGCAGATGTAAAACCATAATTCCACCAGAGCAAATGCTTCTGCTCTCAATATTGTCAACCCAAAAGATGTTTGTTTCCGCTTATACTTGAACATGCCTCAAACCGGGATAAATATACTTTACAACAAATGGGACTGTTTTGTTTTTCTCAATTATAGTGACCTTAAGTACTGCGAAGGGAATCTGTATGCTGGTCATTTTTATTTAGAATACAACCCATTGTGTATAAAGTTACAAGGTAATGAAACATCTTTTCCCTCTGACCAGTGCTGGATAGGCTGCGTTACAGAGTCTCTGGTCTGGTTAGAGATGAATGTGTTAAGTGGCACATACATGATTCCTCTGAAAGGTAGAAAATGGCAGAGAGAGAGAGAGAGAGAGAGAGAGAGAGCTGTCAGATTTGCCCTTTATTAATAAGTTGGTTACTGATGTACAGAATAAATCTTCATGGCTCTGTAATCTACGTCCATCCACCTTCTCCGCCAGTGTCTCCCAGCCCGGTCCTTGGGATTCCCCCCCTCTGTGTTTTTGCCGTCCCTCAGTACCGGGTTGGGAAACACTGTTCTACACCACTAACCTAGTGCAGTTTGCCTATCCTGGGAAACAAGGGGTACAAGGCATGCTGCGACTGGTTTAGGGTTAGTCCGGGGGTGGGTGGGGAGTCTTTTCTGAATCATTTCTGCTCCAATCTACTGTAGGAATTTCCCTTTGATCATTTTCATCTTGTTGCCGAGTGCCGTCATTACGTCAATTTATGGAACATTTCAGCGAACACCAGCTGCCACATGAATGCCAGGCTGAAAACCACATATTCTGGAGTGACTCAGATAACTGGCAGAATGGCCTTTGAAATAATCTGAACTTTAAACGCAGCTTCCCTACCCTGCACAAGTACGATTTAAATGTCATCTTCAGATTCCTGACTTCTTCATGGTCACAGCTCAGAAGAAACACACATCACAATTATGTATTATATTATATTAAAACAATCCATATTTATTGCGTGCCTAAAATTTATTTACTGTAAAATTCATGAAAAACATTTCTGAATGAACACACACAAACTGTAATCCACATAGCAGCAGAGTGTTTAAACGCCATTCATATAATTCATCTTTTATTTTTAACACTTGTGTGCTAATAAAAGTAGAAAGTAAATAAAAGGCCATACAAATTACACACGTGTAAAAAATTGAAACATTTCCAAAGTTCAAAGCTCTGTAAAAAAAATACATAATTTTAATTTACAGTGAAATGACTTTGGAATATTTCATTTTACAAAATGACAATGTCAATAATGACTTATAAAATTTTATGCATTGTTAAAGTGCAAATTGTACTTTATATACTAAAGCATATATACCTTCCCCTTTTTATTGCCTTCAAAATACATGCATTACATGATTTTGTGAATGCCATTATATAAAGATTTTCTGGAATACAGCAGAATATATATATAAATATATATAAAATAGGAATCAGAGTAAAATAAGAACATAGACATGAAAAAAAAATGTGGAATTAGCAGCTGGAAAGAGTAAAGAATAAAAAAATAGATTAGTCACTTTTAGCTCTGGGGCTCAACAGTGTGGCATCAGTCCAACGGCCATGGGATTTGAACTGGTGACCTAGCGATATTAACCGGCTGAGTCACATACAGGTCTACTTTACTAACCTAGCAATTTCACTTCATAAATGGTACACGAGAGTTTTTTTCTTAGCAAAGTAATTTTAGCTGTTATAAAGGCCTTCCATTTGCAAAAAGAACTGTGACTGTGCACTTAAATGAAATGTGACACCTAGACATGGGAAGTAGCACTGAATCCGGGCAGCATCGCGAGACGTCAACGTTGGTTTCCGAAAATGGTCCTTTGCTGGATTAAGGTGGACTTTGGCAGTCAAGGGCAGCCATGACCTAAGGTCAGGCAGGCCAGGCTGCGGACAGCCACACACACGACCAGGGGGAGGCGCCCTGAGCCAGGCCGGGTCGCAGCCCATAGTGTGTCCGTCTCTCTCTGCAGTGTCACTTCTGAGGAGGCAAGCAGCTGTTGAACCTTGAAGTATACACCCTCCTCAGCAAGGACTGTCAGATGCGAGTCCTGCAGTGAACATTCCCCGGCTGCCACTAGGCGGCTCACCTGTGTGATGTAGCCAAGAGTTAGAAATTAATTCCAGGCCCCAACAAGGAGTCCAAATGCACACCTTCGCTGAGAAACAGCACGTCTTGTGTTGTGAATGCTGCAATTGTGGCATCCGTACTAAGCCTGCGTGTGATCTGAGCGTTTCCGACCAACCGAATCGAATGAATTTGTGCAACGAATGGTCACTTTTCAGTCAAGCTAATATTCAGTTTTTTTTTTTGGCATATGAATTATATTGCACCAAACTCATCCTTGGTAACTTACCAGGTGGTGAAGGGCTCCAAGGACTGCAGGATCACAAGACTGTTCCAGCCAAGTTAGACCAGCATCTGTCATCTCTGTCAAGTCATAGGATTACAAAAAAAATATGGTAGAGCATTTTGGGGATGAACAGTCCTCTGTCCTTAAGATACACGGCTCACAAGTGACTGGTGTTAGTTTTCTTACCATCTATAGCACTTATTAAAAGGTACACAGATGTGTGTAGTGAGAAGCTCGTCGTCTGAGGACCATCAGCTTGATCCAGACCTTCCAAATTGGCCTGGAGAAATTCCAGAAGTTTGACCACCGTCTCATTCTGAGGTTGAGACTTCTTGCCACCGTTCCAGCACCGTTCGTCCAGCTGAAAGGTCAACAGATAGGAGAGGTTATGAAGTGTATGAGCATCTTCATGGTGTAGCTCGACATGTAGAGCATTGTGCTAACAGCGCAAAGGTCATTGGTTCAGATCCCAGGGAGTGTGCATAAATTGTAACCCTTCTGTCTACTGTAAGTTCCTTTGGATAAAAGTGTCAGATAAATGAGTAAAATATGTCATCAATCAGAAATGAAAATGGGTAACTAAGAGCAAAGGAACACTGCTCCTGTTTATGGTGACCAGGTGCTTCTATCCACAGTAACATGCATTTTTCTGAGAAACTGAACTAACAACCTTCTGTTGGACCTACCCCACTGAGCCACACACTGCCCCCTGTCACCAGTCTCCCAGGGTCACTCACCACGCTCTCCAATATGGTGACAGCTGCTCTGTCTGTCAGGATCTCTCTCAGGTAGCAAAACAGCTGGGATCGGGCTTCTGCAGGGAGATCTGCGAGCTTCTGGAAGTGCGGACTCAGCTTCTCCAGATCTGTGACACAAGAAAGCAGTGCTGCAACCACCGGAACCTCAAATCATGTCGCGTTCCACAGCAGTCCACAGTTCACACTGCAGGATCTCGGCCCAATTGTAGTTCCTCGGAGGCAGTTCCGGAACCGTTCCAGACTAGGTTCTCTGTGCTCGAACACGAGCTACTGTGGAGTCACTTACAGTGACTGCTTGCTGATTAGCTGACCACAAGCACCAGCACTGAAAGTTACAGGGAAGTGCTGGGAAGAGAGAGAACTAGTACAGCAAAGATTGAGCAGATGAAACTATTTTTGTACATCAGTTACATTTAATGAATACATTTTTTGCTTGTATCTCCATGTTTCTTGATTGGACCAACACACTTTTGTCTAATATTGTGGCCGCTGGCGGTGGAACTTGCCAGCGCTCATTGATGGGATACATTTCACTGTTTTTTGTAATCCTGTGAAACCAAAAGATCAATATGCTGGTCAGATTTAATAATGAAATATAAACATGTTGTATAAATAAAATATAAATAAAAGGCTGCGTTCGGTTTTGATTGCGATCGCTCCCCCCCCCCCACAATAACTACAAAGTTTAACCTACAAGCTTTTTGCATCTCCCTTGCTGATTTAGCATGATGGTCCCAGTTCCTGTTATGCGGCGTGAAAGCAACAAACAAAAGTGGCCAGGGCCATGCGGCCCAGGGACCAGGTTCCGGAACTTCAGTGTGAAAGCGCCTAGAATTTGTGAGTTGGTTCCCTTAAACCCTGCACACTCTATCAATTTATGCATCACTGGTACTGACTGGCCTCGTGCCCATTGCTTCCGGGATAGGCTCCTGACCCCCCGCGACCCAGTAGGATAAGCGGGTTGGACAATGGATGGATGGATGATACTGGCTGTTCATTTACTATGCAAATCATATGCATTACAAAGAGATACAAACATAATTTCTTTCATGTGATAGAAATTAACAAGCATTATATTATAAAAAGGTCACCTGGTAGTGATGGCACTAGATATGGCGTAATACTGTATATAAGGCAGTGAATAACACACGTGTGGGTATCTGTAAGGAAACGGTAAAGTTACATTTTTCAAGCACGCAGAGTGGTGCCTCCGGTGGAATAGACTGGTCATCCTCCAGGTCAGCGCTGCTTGAGCTGTCTACTTCCATCAGGCTACCGGCTGGATACTTGGGGGACGGGCTCCTCACCAAGGTTTCCTCGAATCCCCCGTACGTGTTGGGCTGCAGGCAGAGCTCTGCTCAACACGGCGAGAGAAAACCCAGCGTCACGCGTGTCGCAGAACCGGGCCTGACTTTCGGCAAACTGCATCTCACTAGCGCAGATCAGAAACGCACACAGGTAAAGTCAAGTGTGCTTTATATTCATACCATCCATAAAAAGATACCTAGTGCCATAAAATTATGCTGCCCCAGGAACATACAAACAGCAAGTACAGGCGTGGTTTTCACAATAGTTAAAGTACAAAACACAGAACAGTGTGCAAAGACTGGGCACATGTATGTAATAGCGAAAGGCTCACCATACTGGCCATTTTGTTTGATCACAAGCTCGATGATGCTGTACGCTACGACCGTGTGGGGCGGGATCTCCAAGGAAACACTCCTGTCCTTCTCCCTGTTTCCGTTCTCTGTCACGGAGACCTGTCAAGCAGCCACACCCAAGGCATTCGTTTGGGAATTCGTTTGGGAATTCGTTTGGGAAACTCCAACAGGCAACATGGACGCCTTTTCTCACACTTCCCACCTTCACAGACTGGGGCGTGAAGAAAGTCAGCCCCGTTCCACAGGAGCCGTGGCCCTTGACCTTCTCCATGATAGAGCAATGCTGGGTGGTAAAGATCCTCTCCTTCAGGACACCAAACACTTCATTCCCCTTCTCCTGTGTTTGTTGGATGAGGCAGTGCTCCAGGTTCACGTACCTATGGGTGCCATGACAACTTGATTGAGCTTCTGAGAACCAAAATACTTCACTGATGGCATTTTAATAACCGTCAGATTTTAGTTTTCTAGAGTGAATGTTAATATTTGACAGCTGAAACCTGTGAATTTGACATATTACAGTACTAAGCAGACAAAATGACAATTTTTTTTCCCTTCCTGTTTCAACAGCTGGGTGACTACTGAGCCTAAATATGCCATTTGAAGTGTATTTTCCTGTATTTTGTCTTGCTTTTCATATTTGCATCACAGAAAGTTCCCTTTATCTGTATATACGAATGGACCAAATGGAAAGTATTTCCATGCATTTTATGTTTCATTAAACGAAAACACATTAACACACACTTTTCTGTGCACTGTTGTGAAATTTTGGTAACCTGGTTAGAAGACACTTCCCTCTAAACCCTCTTGAGGAGCAGAGTGACCTACAAGGAACTTGTGATTCTGCATGTCACCAACTCAACTTTCAGTTCCTTCAGTGATCAGTTTCACTATCCATTTGTCCTGCAATAACTATCTTAGCCGTGGTGTCTATGGAAGGTCGTTCTCTCATTTGTATGTCAAGAACAAATAGGTGCCCTACACATACCCATATACTTCTGGAGCAGAAGTGGATAATTCAGGTCCAGGAAGTAACCAACCAGTGACTGTGACTCTTTATACTCAACTGGTTGGTTGAAACAAAATCTCGGTCAGGATTTTAACTTTTCTGGACCTGAACTATCCATCCCTGTTCTGGAAGCTGGCAGATGGACCGTGCAGTGTGTGTGCAGGGGAGAGAGCGGCGTCCTCCTGACCTGCCCTTGGAAGCGCACAAAAGCTTCTGGACGTCAACTTCCTCTTTTTTCAAGCTTCCAAACGAAGATCGAAGATTCGAGGAGCTGCGTGATTTCATGGTGACTTTTGCTGGGCCCATCTCCGTCTCCATGTTCCCAGCCAGGGAGTCGGCATAAATCCCCTCGTACTTCAGAAAGTCAGAATCCATCACATCTGAGGGCAAAGGATTTGCGACATGTCTGATTAATAACAGCTGGCTTAGGGTTAGAGCCAGGATTAGGATTGCCTTGAGGGACAGGGCTAGGGTTAGATTTGACAATAGGTTTAAGGCTATGAGTAGAGTCAGGGTTGTTTTTAGGGTTAGGGACGATATTAGTCCTAGGATTAGACTTAGTACTTAGTACTAACCCTAAAATTAATAACTATAGTATAGGGTTATTGATCGCTACAGATGTGACTATACTTGGTAGAAGAGAACATAGGATTTACACAGGATTAAGTTAATTATAATAGTTATGATTTCATATTTTTGATTTTTAAAATTAATTTTACATTGTAGAAATGTGTAAACAAGTGTTTCTTGTATTTATTATTTTAGTTTTATTATCTAAAGAAGTCGAACCTTTGGTTTACAGCTATTCCTAATTGTTTGTGTTCGCAGTTTTAATAATGAATAAATTCAAAACGAATTCCATTTTCTCTGCTGTACCATAATGCCATGCACTGAACCGTGAACCCAAGATTTCTATCGAATTATGGATTTTGTGTATCATTGCACCCCGTGAAGGTGTGTATAATTGGTTTGGGAGGTCTAGACAGGTCTGTGTGATTAGGGTTAGATAAAGTAACAATAGTTTTTAAAAAGGTAGGTACCTGTACAAATGGGCTCGCCGACAAGCACGTCACTGAGGCTGAAGTTAGACGGCAGGTATTTGGGCTTCTTCCAGAACCAGTGCCTTTTCCGCTTGACGATTAGTGACAGCATTCTCAACTTGTCCGAGTTGTTCAGCCGCGACACTGGGATCAGGCATCCATCCGGGTCGATCTCGTTCACGAAGTTCCTTGTCGCCTTCGCAAACATCTCCAAAGAGCTTCAGGTGAGGTGTAGCTTATCTCAGAAACCTACAAGGAGTTCAAACCAAAAATTTCAGTTATCGAGCTAGGGATGAAAATTACCACGCCCACAACTGCTGTCAGAAATTGTGATTTAGTGATGTCAACATAAAATGTTCTCAGAATGAACGCAAAAAGGTGATTTCCCAGCTGGTTTCATTTTGAGGTATTACACGCCATCACGCAGCGTAAGGCTGTGATGATGAAAAGCGTATTCCATGAAACTCAGGGAACGTGGCAATGCAGGTTAACCCTTAGATCAAGGGTAGCCAACCCTGATTCCGGAGTGCTGATGTCCAGTAAGTTTTCCATCCTACCTATTGAGTTACAATCTGCCTGAGATCAGGTGTGGTTCTTCAGAGAACAGGAGGATAGAAAACCAGCTGGATATTGGCACTCCAGGAGAATCAGGGCTGCATACCCTGCATGTTAACCTACCATGATAGGAAAGAACTACATATATATCAGATGAATACTGTATTTTTAATTTCACAGTAGGCCATTTGGTGGTTTCACAGAAAAAGAAAGGAAAAAAAAAAAAGTGTACGCCTACTCACAGTCGATTCAAAAGTTGAGTTCATGAGTAACAACTTTCAAAAGTGTGCTCTGCGGTAATTACTGGACCACTATTGTCACGAAGTTATTTTGTGCCGTTAAGGAAAAATTGACTGACATACAATACACATTTCTGGGATGCACAGAAACTATTTTAATTGTCCGAATTTTTTTGACTGACTCATTCAGTTCAGTTCTTGTCATTTTACTGTTAATGACAATTGTAATCATTGGGTCCCAAAGAGATACTAAACACAAATGTTTGGTCTTTCATGTTATTACAAAGGTGTTACTAATTAAAAAGCACCAAATGAGACTGCTAGTCAACTTTTTAAATCAGAATAACTATTCATTCATCACTATAATTTAGATTGAAATTTATTACTAATTGAAATTAAAACTACTGATTGTTTATAATACGATGGGTACGAGGTCTGACACAAAAACTGTGCCTGTAACTCTTTCTGTTTAACAAATTCATAAAATCAACTATGATCGCCTTCAAAATAGTTCCCTTCTGAGTTCACACAGCTGCATACGATGCTGCCAAAGTTCAAATTAACTCTGACCTTATTGTATATATATATATATATCATTCATAATTCTTCTTTATTCTTCACAAATAAATCCAAACACACGCAAACACTTCTGCATTATATCCAAATGATTCACTATATGATGCATTGTATCCAAAAGCCCGGCTGGGTGATCGTCGTCTTTCACGCTTTCTTTGCCTTCCGAAAAATCCAGCAACGCACGGAATCTTCGCCGTAAGCCTCGGTCCTTAGTTTAACAAGAAACTCCATTTTCACTTTTGCAACCCGGTATTTTCCGCATCCCTAAGAAGCGACACCTCGCACCGAGTGAAGCTGCTGAGAGTCGCAGCACCGCGGCCGTTCAGAGCGCGTCCCGCGGCCGTCGGTTCGTCTCTCCCCTGCCACTCTTGGTTCCCGGGCAATATGGCTAGTTTTATTTTGTGTCGAACCCCGTACATTTTTGTATACAAATTAATAAAGCAACGATTTTTGTTACAAAAGCAATAAATTTGCGATATTTTTAAAAATATTTTAGCGTCCCAAGACTTTCTGTTAGTACTGAATATATCTTAAGTAATTTAACAACAAATGTTCAAACAAGTATAGAAAATTCATTGTAGCTGGTTTCGGCGAATGTTTTTATTCTGTTTAATACCGTGTGCGGATCGGTGACTACAAACTGCTGACAGTGTGCGCAAACGGCGAGAAACAGCATCCATCCCGGCTGTCTCCTGCCATCTGCCATGTGCTTCCCGCGAGTGTTTACAGTCAATGGATGAATATTTAAGCTTCAAAGGAAAAGTGTTTAGTTTGAATGTTTCCATCCCATACATCAATATAACAAAAACATTTCACAATAATTGCGTTCTATTAATATCGCAGGGTTGAAAACGCTCACGTGTCTGGGGAGCCACTCACGCTTACAGATGCTCACGCTCACGCAAGAAATCTTACGGCAAACCAATATTATTCCATTATTAACCTAAAATTAGCTACATCAAAAACGTTGGGGTAGTTTGCAAACGCTACATACTATTTACAAGGTAATAAAACTGTTACATGCATGTAAATATGTTGGCAGACTTTGTCTCAAATTGAAAATCTCACTCCAGTCAGCTGACCAAAGTCGGCAGCCCTGATATCGACATATTTGAAAATCCTTCAGAGATTTTAATGTAAAACAATTATGAGGCATGATACATAAGAAGTAAACATAGGTACTGAGGATAAACATGACAATTAAAAGGATACTTACTAAAGGTTAGGTCCCGACACCGAAGAAGTTTGCACTAGAATTGTTTATTTGGCACAAGCCCTCACGAATCTGATTGGTTAACGCGCTTCTTAAGGCAATTTCTATAGGATAAGATGATTGTCAGCGGAACATTAAGTAAGAACTGGAAAGGTTTGAAAGAACACCGGCGGAAGTTCACGAGGCTTCAGAAACTTTGATCTGCAAGTTATGTGCGTCATTATTGCAGGATATTTTGAAAATAATGAAGATACATGTATGTACAATGCATTCATTGCATTACTCAATAATTTCAAAATAATTCATAATATATTTGTTTGCGGTTGGAAGATATATTATAATGTGTAATTTACGCGTCGGTTAACGATAATAAATTAATCACGCTTTCTAAAGTAGACAATATATTGAGATTCTTGGGGGTCACGCAATTTAGTAACCCTTGTCCAACAAACCTACTGATGAATATGAAATATATGCGTGAAGTACTAAGTCTTAAGAATCACAAACTTATTTATGTATTTGCCTGAGAGAATTACACCCCTCAACATATCGGCCTGTATAAAATGGCCAAAATGTATGATGTGCATGTGAGTTGATGCGTGTATGTTAGGGGTATATCCTACATAAATCATTTATTCTTTTTGAAAAAACCGCTACCGTTAGCAGAATAATGCACAAGGACAGTCACCCCCTGCACAGCATATTCTCCAGGCAGAGGAGTCTGTTTAGTGGCAGGCTGCGGTCATTGTCCTGCTTGACGGACAGACCGAGGGAGTCTTTGCCCCCCCAGACCATACAGTTCTACAACGCATCACAGAGACGGAAGAGCAAATTGACTGATTCATTGCTCAGTTGGTTTAAGAATGAGATCAGTGAACGACGAGACACCCTCTCTTTTGCCACCTACTATTGTTACGAAGCACATACGTCATTAAATATAACTAAAAATGAAATATGCACATATCCTATGCATAATATATAACAACTTTATTTTCGAAATTTCCCAAAGCAAAAAGCACTGCGTCCTCATCAATCCACGACGCTACGTATCATAAGAATGCAGAGCTGCCAGCTCTCACGCATCTGGTGTGACACTGGCTTTCAGACTCTCATGCTCGCGCAATAAATCTTATGGCATATCTATGTTATACCATTATAAACGTAAAATTAGCTACATCAAAAGCTTTGGAATAGTTTGCTAACCCTGCAGAATATTTACAAGGTAATAAAACTCACACACATGCCTGTGCAGTCTTGAATTGAAAATCTTACTCTAGTCAGTTGACCAAACCCTAAGAACATTAACTAATGTGAGCTAGTGTGAATTATGCAACCAATGCTCATGTTTTCCCACTACAGCCCCCCCCCCAGGTACCCAAAGTGCCCACATACAAGTTCTGCTGAAGAGGTCCACGGATCTTCTGCAAACCAGCACCCACGGGATGCAATCGTAGCACTTGTTGTCCTTGCTGGCTCTCTGGTCTTTCATGCAGTGGTCGACACTGGCTGTGCAGTGGTTGACACATTTGTACAGGCCACTGGCCTGTGGATGATACACCGTGGCACAATGGAGCTTCATCCCAAGGCTCTTGGCAATTTCAGCCCAGAGGTGAATTCCGAGGTGGATTGCTGGCCACAGTCAAAAAAGGCGTAAGATGGTGTGCTGAACTGGGCCACCCAGTTGCTGATGAATGCCTGGGCGACACTGGAAGTTGCTGCTGATACCAAAGTTACGACTTCTGGCTACTTTTTCTTTCTATCTACCATGATAAGCAGGTAAGAGGGGAGGGGGCCCCACACGGTTCACACTGACACGGTTGAAACGCTGCGCAGACTTTCTGAACGGGGTGCCACAAGGCTGTGTCCCGAGTCCTCTGCTCTGTTCAGTCCTCACTGATGACTGTATACCAATCCATAACTCCACCTCCATCACCATTTCCAGATAACACCACTGTCAAAGGCATGACCTGCGACAATGAGGAGGCAAGCTACTGAGTAAACCAAGAAAACCGACACTGAGCACAAAGAACACAAAGGAGATCATTGTGGACGTGAGAAAACCTAGATCTGCTTATTCCCCAATATACATTAATCAAGATGTGGAATATCTGGCCAGCTTCATGTTCTTCAATGTCGTGAGAGCCTTTCATGAACTCGCAGCATCTCCTCTCTGATTGACAGGAAACAGCAGTACCAGTTCCTCATAAAAAAAGATTGAACAGAACCAACTTACATTATTGGGATTAGCTACCAGTCCTGGCGAAACTATCCTAAAGCAGTTTAGTCTGTCATAAAGCAGTAAACAAAATCAAGCCACAAAACATTAATATTTATGAGGGCACTCACAGAAATTGTGAAACACAAACATGAGCAATGACTAGAGGAGATATTTATTAACCTATATTACCTCAATTTAAACACGAGGCATTAGTATATATTACAATATTCCATGGCTTACCAGTGAAGTTAATGTAAAATAAGGCAGTTTTATAGACTTATAGACAGTGCATAAATTTCCCAATGTTGGCATTTCTATGTCAATCTCAAGGGCCGATTGATTAAGGCAATATTTAGTAATGAAGACGTTAAAGTTTTCATGGAGCAGTAGTAATAGTGAAGAGGGTCTCTTGGCACCGTTGGGCAAAGTTTTGGCATGCATTTTACAGGGCGCAAAGTCACAAACACTGTGCGTTATAACCTCACACAGAATTGACAGAGGGTTTATAGTCACAGTACATTCAGAATGTCAACTTGCATACAGATTTCACAAGTAATCTATTGCATATACTAGATCTAAGGCTGTAATTTGCAGTTCATGTCCTACAAGTAGGTTTATGTGAATTACTGTCCATCTTGTCGTTTTACAGATTCACAGGGCCATGACTATATGCTAGGGATCATTTCATATGCATCTGACACTTTTTGTGAAAATAAAAATCAAAACTAAAAAAGGAATAGACTGAATTAGATAAGACTGTTAAAATGACGCGTAGAAAGTGCTGCATAATGCAGTAAAACTATATTAATACATTTTCTAGATGATGTTTGTATCATCAAACACTGGGAAACAAAACAAATGAAGATGCAGTATTAGAAATAAAAGTAAAAAAAATAAGCTTGACATCACCCACAACCAAAGTGAAGCACTTACTGTATATATCATTCATCATTTTTCTTTGTTTTTCACATATAAATTCAAACACACACAAACACTTCGGTATCTGTCTTTGTGGGGAATTCACTTATGAATCATAAATTAAAGACAGTGTGGAACCCAATCAAAATAATACAAAAAGCAAATTAAGGTCTCGTATTAGTCATTTAAAAAAATGTGAGTAATTTGGCATTTTACATCATGTGGACATAATTGGTTTTGAATTCCAGAATTTACTATTACTATAATATTTTTCTTTAACATGCAATTTCATAATATAATATTTGTTTTAAAAACCATTATCTTGAGTGCTATTAATTCATTTTGGGAAGCATCTACACCAGTTAACTTCTGTTTTTAATGCAAATAGAACATCAACAATCTACAACACAGCACATTCATTCGAAGTCAGACTTCGTCCTTGGCACAATCTAGTGTGGTGTTACACAGAAGTAACATAAGTCTTACACAGCGTGAAGCATCAAATGCTGTCGTTCCTCTGGCGAAGTCCCAGGCTTCTGTCTAAGCTTTGAGCTCCATAGAGGAAAGCAGGTTTAAGGCACTGTAGTGCCCCCCAGAGGCAGAAAAGGGGATGGTCAACAAATCAACACACCATAGCATTACTATCAAAAGGCCGGCCCAATGCACTACGCCATCGCAGTCATAGCAGGAAGCAGAAAGCCGTCTCCAGTTACCCTGAGTTACCACAGCACAGCACAGTCCAGAGTGGCCAATCCTGGATCCTTTCTCAGGTCCCAGTAGGTGTTGTTGGTCATCCAAGTATCATCTCCCGACTTCCTGTATAAAAAGCCGGACGAATCAGAAAAGTAAATCGGGCAGTTCAAGATTCTTCAGAGGATTATGCCTAAATTACATTATCTATAAAAAAAATATGGAAACCTGTTTCCGCCATGTGGAGCAGAAAAACACACATTTATCAAAATTCTGACTTAGTATGTCCAAATTCCGCGTTTTCTTAGGACGTAACAGGGTGGGGGGCGGGGGGCGGGTGGGGCGGCTAACACTGCTGCCTCACCGCGAGAAGGTCCCGGGTTTGCCTACGACCTCCAGAAGCTTCAAAGACACGATGCACGCTTAACATTTTATAGACGGACATTTTATAGGTCCGTAGCAACTAATAATATAACTACCGTTAGTGTAATAACTGCTAATAACGTAATACTTTTCCCGTTTTTCCTGTAATAAAAGTGTATGATGTAATAATGTGATGTGTTTTGATTAATAAAAGTGTATGATGTAATAATGTGATGTGTTTTGATTAATAAAAGTGTATGATGTAATAATGTGATGTGTTTTGATTAATAAAATGTTAATGATGTAATAATGTGATGTGTTTTGATTAATAAAATGTTAGTATGGTATTGGCAAGTCATTACTTTATCGGCTTTTATTACACTAAGAGCGGGAAAAACACTATGTTATTAACAGTTATTACATGAACTCATTAAAGTTAGATATGCCTGTACCACATCTTATTAGGCGAGAGAAAAGTTCTGTTGCCCCTTTTCATTTCAAACCAGGTTACCATTTACAGGATAATTATCATGGCATGTTCCGATGCAGACTACGACTCACACACACAGCTGGAAAGACTACAACGCCTGGACAGAGCAGAACCTGATGGCAGAACCGGGCTTCCATAAAAAAACATGCAGTTTTCTAATTGCTTTGGATGGGTTGGGTTTCATACTTGAAAAATCGAGGTTGATGTGTCAGCTTGTTTACTTCCAGAACTCTCCTCCTGTCCCTCTGGAGTTCTTCGATCCTCTGCTTTTGCTCTTCTGCAGCTGTCACGTTCCCCTCCTCCAGTAACCTAAAGAAGATATCATTTAGGATCTCAAGACTGGGCCTGAGGCAACTCAAAAATACAAACAGCAGCAAAGTTAACACAATGAAAGCATCTCTTGCAGTGGCTGCCATGGTGAATGGTTCATGTAAGCAAATGTGTAATGTTGCAAATGTGATACTGGTAATAATCTCAATTTTCCCCCCTAACTGTATCTGTATCTTTTCTTTTTTGTATAATGAATATGTAACGCCGCTTCGGATATTGAGTTACTCCCAAACAGGACTTAGCTATTTAGTAAAATTAGGGGTTTGAATCCCCAGGAAATTTGTTTGCTCCTGACCAGATGTGTAGCCACATAGTAAAATGATAAGTTTGAACCCGCCCCCGAAATTTGCAGGACCCTCCTGAAATTCATTCCTGGCTATGGGCTTGATCACAAAGCCTGGGAACCAAAAACTTATGTGGACTGATGCTGAGCACTGAGAAGCATCCGGAAGACTCCCGCCACCTTTTCCGTGTGACTACATAAGTTGTGAAATTTACACAAGACTCAGATTTTTCATGTCCAAAAATCCCTTACCTCTGGTCTGGGCGGAACCGTGTGTCAGTTGGGGGCAGCAGTGGCTTCAGGGTGGGGTCCAGCTCGTTTAACTCCATGGCAAACTGGGTGAAGCCATAGTACTGCTCGTAATCGGGGGGCATCGGATCTGAACACAAACACTTGGTAAAGGCTCGACTCCTCTTACTTGATGAATGTCTAAACTGAATATTAAAACCTTTTAATCTAAGTAATAACTGTGGTTAATATGAAGTTTAGGCCTTAAATACCTGCAACATTAAGGAATTACAATATCCAAAATGAACAGGGCATTTTCTCCCCACAGGTGGGTTCTACATTTTTTTAATTGAGCAGATGCGTTCATTCAAAGTAACGCACAACTGAGAAGACAAGGGCACTCAATACCTGGAGCGACTAGGGCTAAGGCCATTGTTCCAGGACCCCAAGGTGAAATCACTCTGCCATCCCTGGGATTTGAACCAGCGACCTTCTGTCCTAACCTGCTGAGTTACACACCATCTACTCACTTGGCTTCCAGATGATGGTGGCTGAAGGGGGGTTTCCATAGTAGATACTCTCATGCCATTTCCCAAACAGCTTGTGAACGACCTTCCCAGCTTGGTCAGTGATCACACCCTCTACCTCGTTGATGCTTGAGCTCCAAGACTTCCCCTGTTCCAGTTTAACACACAAAACATCTTATTTCATAGAACAATCTATTGAACACATATAAATTATTTTTATAGTATACATGCATTGCAGTATATCAAATATATATCGATAACAGATTGACTTCAGAGAGGGACCACAACTGTAAAACTCAAGGCACACTTTATTCAATATAACCTGATTTCTTTGAAATTTGTCCAGCAGGGGGCACTGTGAAGTCGTAATTTCATGTATAATGTTAGTCTGGGATCAATCCACTCCAGAGACACTGCAGTCCATAACCCTGACACTTTAAAACGTGGCCCCGGTGCTTTATACTCATGGACCAGAGATTCTAGAATCCTATAGAACAGCTTCTGCCTTTCTTGCGCTCACCTTGAGGAAGGTGACCTTGCACTGGTAGCTACTGCTCTTGTTGTTCTTGATAGAGATCTCCCCGTAATGTTCAATCCACTTCTGCCCACTGATAATGTTGTGGATGCAGGAGGTGACCTTGTTCCATTCATAGTGGTCCCCAAACCTGGCATGTGGGGGGGGGGGTTTAGCCATTTCAGTCAATCCATGTTCCTGAAACAATTCTAAACCCTTGCTGTCCTTCACTTAAGACACTCACAAAAATAAATTACAATTACCCATAATCCCCACAACCCTGCTGAGGATCAGGGTTGAAATATAAATGGATGCATGTAATTCCTTATAATACTGCTTTTTCAGATAGAAAAATTCAAACAGAAACTTGTACTCAGAAGCCCCAAGTCTAGTTCAGATTTTGTCCAAAGACTGCAATCTATGACTGACCATAAACACTTTTTATTACAGAGCAGACAGCTTTAGGACCAGAGAGACTGAATTCCAAGCTCACCAGCGTCAGAAGGGTTGGGGTGAACTCACCGTGGGAGCAGCACGTGCGTGTTGCCCTCTGGGACGATTTCCATCGACTTTCCCCAGAACTTGTTCCTCCATCGCATGTCTGAAGGTAGCAGGCAAAGTCAGATCGGGTGTCATTAGCAACGTCAGCATGAAATGTACTGTGAAAAGTCTCCACCTGATTCACTCTCATCCTCTCAGAACAGTATATTTCAGTAATGAACTGAAGGACACAATCGCGCTGGGGCAAAACCTCCAAGAAATCTAGAATAAGACAGTATAGTATATCCAGGGTGAACCGACAAAAAAATCATGATGAGTCCTACCTTCCCAGAAGATGAAGTTCTTTGATTCTGCATGGCACACTGATACTGGTGGGTGGTGGCTGACCTGAGAAAAGACTATGATTATATCTCCAGGTATTCCAGGTAGACATTTTAGGTTAAAACTGGATGTGCTTAGAGACGTTAACGGAGTGAAAAGAGGCATGTGGAATGCAGAGGAATTCAAAGTATTATGTTAACTGCTTTGGGGAGGAACCTTCTTCATCTGAATTGTCTGTAAGCCCAGAAGCACCTCTTGCTGACCTCATACCTCCTACACAGAGGTGTTTGCGACCAGCAAGGACGAGATCAGTCACCAAACCCACCGATCCCAGTGTTCTTCGCTTTTCACGAGATGAAACAGATACAGATCATCTCTATGGCAACCATAATCGCTGGGGTAAGATGAACCAATTCTTAATGGGGCCATAGCCTGAAGTCCTGGATCTATTGGTAGCAGGATAGTTGATGGAGTTCTGGCCCTTTAAGTACACAGCACAGAATTTAGAGTCCCCCCATAATAGACTGTCATATTTCAAATCTCCTCTCTGTGGATCTCAGACCTACGGGTCAGCTGGGGACAGCTACTATATTTCTGAGCAATATTTTGTATGACACGTTACAATGGAGCTTCTCATATATTTGTGGATGGAAATATACAACTCGAAAAGTAGGTAGGTAGCTACTGTCAAAACTAGCCTTTCAGCTACAGATATTAGAGGCCTGCAGCATTGTATGATTCTTCATTTCAAAACAGTACGTTCCAATCCCGGCTGATCACAGACAGTATGACTGACACCTGGCCTTTTAGAAAGCCTGATGCGGCACTAGACTTACCTGTTCTGCGACGAAACGGAAACCCTTGTCTGGTCTGATGCACTCGTAGGTCTCCCCCAGAAGTGGATTGAAAGGCTTCCAGCCGGCTCTGTAGTAGCTGGATGCGTACGCAGAAACCGCAAACGTGGCGACGTACACCTAGAGACGATCAACGGTGCCACATGATCATCATAAGCCTTTTTCAACCAGACAGTCTAAAGTCGCTGACAGTTCAATTAGCGATTCATGAATTGAAAGTAATGTAGTTTTTTTTTTTTTTTGGAAATTTACTAACCTCCCCACAAAACCCAGAGTGTTTCACAGCCCTGTGGAATAGGGGCCGCAGACAGACTGGGAACCTTTAGCTGTAACTCATGTTAATGCCTAGAAATTTGCAATACTGCTAAAACTACACATTAAAAGGACATGTTAAAACTCATAGGACCTAGCTCCTGGGGGGGGGAGGGGCCTTGTTTTTCTTTGTCTGGGAGTAACCACTTGTTACTCTGGAAGAGTGAGTGTTTGTGTACCCTGAGCTCATATTGTGTTACCTGTGACAGTGGCCCTGTTTTATGAATTTTGACTGACGTCCTTTTCATATTAAACCTAGATTGAACCGAACCTGAACTGCACCTTTTGAAGATCTCACACATCAAACGAGTCCCATAATGGAAGGAAGAATGAGCTAAAACAAACCTTGACTTCCCACATTGTCTTGTAGACATCTAATGGTAATATACTACTACCCAGTAATGAAAGGATACAGAATGAGTGGCCGCACCTGAGTATCTGGTTTAGCCAACATGTAATCCCTGTATTAAGGTAAACATAACCAGGCATGAGACAGTGCAGATTGATGGATGCTGAAGCAGGCGAGTCCCACTGTACCCTAAAAGGCCTGAAAGCACTTTGGATGATTAGAATGTTAATTTATAGCCCCAGATCTTTCAAGTGCCCTTCGTCACAGGCGGGTTTAACGTCACATGATCCATCTTTGAACGAGTTGGCTGTAAATTCCCATTCGGTCTTCTCTTAAAACACAGTATCCTTGGTTCCAACCTGAACCGCAGTACCATCATTTCTTCTTCTTACTTGTGTTTAAAGTAAATAAGCAGCAATAATACACTATTGAGCTAAGCTTGCATCTGTGTCTTATACATTTCTGGGCCTGGTGCATACTGTCAAGTGTTTGTTTAAGACATACATGAGACCAGGGGTCTGTTTCACAAAGCAGGATTACTTGCTTAGCCAGATAATTTGCCAGATTTAAGGTAGTCTGGGCTAAATAGACCTTATTTTCATCAACTTACATTTCGCCCAGACTACCTTAAATCTGGCAAGTTATCTGGCTAAGCAAGTAATCCTGCTTTGTGAAACAGGCCCCAGGGCTCTGTGTGTAGAGGTTCAGCATGCCTGAGGGGACCCAGGTTCACAGGGTTGGGTTTGTTTCTGGAGTCCCCCGAGACATCTGATTGGTGGTCCCGCCTCCTCTACAATCTGATTGGTTATCTCTCTGAATCAATAATTTTTCTTTTGTTCTACCCACAGAACATTTTTGTATAAGTAAAACTGCTATGAGCATGTTTCCACGGGGGCACTGGCCCCCAGACACGCCCCAGTTATAGCTACTGCTTCAGTCTGTGCATGCAAATGTAGATTACGTGTCATATAATTAGGTATGCAATTAAATGCATATCATTAATGTAAAATCCCCTTATCAAGGTAATAATTATTAACGTCATGCCAGTTCAGCTATCATCAATAAAGCATATCGTTATCAAGCTAAATATACATTAATAACCTAATAAAACATGTTGGTTGTACACTTTTTAAATAACATTTGTAAACGTGTTTTATTAATGTGAACTCTTGCTGAATTTGAAACTTACAGGGTTACTTGAAACTGCATCATCACGATTGCATCATCGCGATTGCATCATCGCGATTGCATCATTGGCTAATAGCCGAGTGATACGTCAAGGGGAAGGAATTTGGACGGTGGAAGAGATTCGGCACGACAGCCCCACACAGACGAGTTAATCGAGTGACAGCAAGTACTGCAGCTGCATGTTCAGGATCCTTGTCTGAAGGTCACTAACGATGTAGCTGAGGGGCTTGATCGGCGCCACTTGCCATGCGCTTGAAGGGGTCCTCGGTGGCTGCGGCGCGGTCCAGAAGCTCGCTGTACTCCAGCTCCTCCGCCAGCCGCTGCAGCGTGTTCAGCGGCTCATTCAGCGCCACCGGCATGGCAACTTTGGACAGGTCCTTGCCGATGTTGTTCTTCAAGATGTTCCACAAGCTGATGGGGCTGGAGGAGCTTGGGGAGGGAAGGTTTGACCTGCGCCGCATGTCGCCGGAACCGTTCTGCACACATTCTGGGGGCGGGATCAGAGTGATTACACACCTACCCCCAGGACACACACCATGGGGTTACAGGCCACCTAAAAGTTTTCATGCAAATTCTCATCACCATATGGGTGCCTGGGGGCAGCACGTCCTCGGGGGGGGGGGCACCAAGTCCCCATAATCCCACCCTGCTCTGGTTAATGCGATGTAGCATCCAGTATATTTAATATGATTGTATATTTAACATGATTGCCTATGGTTCTCTTAATACGGCACACTGAAAAGCCTATGTAACGTTTTCCTTTTGTTAATAGCAATTCTGAATTCCGTGAGCCACCAATCCCTTTCTTTCTGACAGGACTTCATGTGCGCTTTTCCCCAGGGACACAATAAGCTTAATCTGGCTCTACTCCTTATAGACATGCTCCAGATCTGAGCTTTACTTTGAACCCCAATATACAGCACAAATACATACATATATGTTCCTATATATAATAAACCCAGTGGGCTGCCTTACTGGTCTTTGGGTGCGTTTGAATGTTCGGATGAGAGGAATCAAAGGTACCCCAGCATACCTAAAGGGGGCTTCTCGGGTTCTGCCTCGTTGAGATGCTCCACGGATATACTGTCACTGACGTCGCTGAGATAAGATCCGTCGTCTGAGGCCTGGAAGGACAGGAGACACGTCACGCGCGCTCTACATCATCGCGCCCCCCAAAGCAGGCGGTCTCTCTGCTCCTCAGGTCTGCTTATGGGGATTTTTCACAGGACGGCCAGTCAGCTTATTTGTCATATCTGGAATTGCCTTATTAGTTTGCCGAACAGCTGAGGAAGTGGCAGGTTAATTAAAAGGAGATTATTCTGCAGTGAAGCTCAGAGGAGAAACACTGACCTCACGACATAAAATTACCGTGAATGTCACATTTATAGAGTGGACGCTTTTTTCCAAAGCGATGTACAAATGAGGATCACAGAAAAGTGACAGACAGTGTCCCTGGAACAACCAGGGTTAAGGACCCAACGGTGACATCAGCCTGCCAGAAATACATCAAAAATGTCTCAGTGTATCAAAATAAACTATGAAATACAGCCACCAAGCAAAGTAGCAAAATATACTACAGTATCTTGTATTTTTAAAATACAAAAATACAATTCACTTCTATTTTATATCAGCCTGTTCCTTCACAAGCACATTGCCTCATATGGCCAAGCATAAGAGCAACGTTTTAACTACTTAATGAGACACGATACAAATGTGAAATCAAACAAAGATCAAATATTCTGAAGTGTCTTGAACACATCCCAACTACTCCTGAGAACATTCAGATAACACCAAATCAATCAAGTGAAAAAATAATAATATCAAACTCAGAAAAACTGTGTTTTTTTGTAATTTAATTGACAAAACTGCTTTCTTTATTGCACCACAGTGGCAAAATGAAAAATGAAAATGTAAGCACAACATCTTAAAAACTTTAAACACAAACAGGCCTGAATGGAGCTTCAAACTCTTTCGGTTCAATGCACATGACCAACTATTGGCTCTAATAACTAAACTTCCTCCTTGCACATGCACAAAGTTTTGCACACGTGATGTCATCATTCATACATCAAGGGGGAAAGTATTTCTTGTATTTTCAAAATACAATAATACTGAATATCAAAGCATTTTGAAACAAATGACATAATCATTTTTATGAAGTAAGTCAAATATAAATTACAATTTGAACTGGCAACCTTCCGGTCGTGGCCATCGAGTGCTAACCCTAAACCACAGGGTCGCAGAATGCCTCTGAAACGAAGCAAACGCTGGTTTATCTAAAAATCAACAGCCTATAAATGTTTAGATTTATGCAATAAAGTGCCGCATTACACCTTTGCTGAGCTATGAGCTATTCATATTAAATCACAGCTATACCGGGTAAAATCTAAATCCTGAAAATGGATATAATGACATTTTAAGTTAAATTACCTGTATCTCTATATTTAGTCTAATACCGGTACTCTGTCCCTTGTGGTTCCAGACATGAACAGCTGACCACCTCAATGCCGGAAACCCACCTCCTGAAAAGACGTCGCTGACTGTAGGCCGTCTTACCTCATTCTCAGAGGAGCTGACAGACAGCAAGACCTCCTGAGCATCAAAGAACTCAGAGAGGGACTCAGGGATGGATGTCCTGCTCTCATTGGATGCCTGATGGACCAGGGGGTGGCGCCCGTCAATGGAGTCCTGTTTGGGGGGGGGGGGGGGGAGAAACTGTGTAAGATGACATTGACACTACTGCATTACTCGAAAGTGCCCAGATTTGCATGTAAGCTGATTAAAAGTCAGGAGGAAAAGGCTGCTTTCAGTAAAGAAACAAGGCTGATGATCCGACATGCAGGGGGAGATATTTGACAGAGCCGCCAGTTTGTGTCTATTTAGGTGAAGCAAACAAACTTGACGGCACAAATTCACATATAATCTATCATCATTCTGTCATTTTGGTCTCCAGTCCTTCTCAGATGGTCACTGCAACCAGCTCTGCATTACAGCTCGACATTTACATTTAATTGCCGCCGTGACGATTGTAACCCAAAGCAGGTCCGGTTAAGCAGGGAGCTGGGAGCTGAACATGCAGACCCAAAGGGATCGTTCACTGCATTCACTGCATTCCTGCACTGGGGCGTTTACACGCCACCACCTGTTAGGTAACACGGCATTTTCCCAAACCTCCTAAAAACTAGACGTGAACATGTATCCCACTCAACCCAGTCAATTCCATTTGAACTAAAAATAAAACAATAAATAAATAGCAAATATTGCAATAAAAGAAAAAAAGCCCACTCCATTTTAATGGCCCTAATGATTTACTCTGCACTCGTCTTGCCTCTTAAAAGGCACAGACACACAGCCGGGCTGCAAATAACTTTTACTGGGCTTCCATTTCTTGCTAATGCTGAGAAAATGATTATGACAGAGAACAGACCAGCACCGACCCAAGGGATGCATATCCTGACATTCGACTAGAAGCTTTAATTAAAAATGACTGGTGCTGATTTACACTTCAAACACCTGGATGTTTTACCGGAGCAGATATGGATGAGCACCAAGGGCCGACGGGGACCCCTACGGCGATTCAGTCTAGCAGCTTCCAGGTCGCGTTCACGGTTAGAGATTAAGACGGCTATGATTGGTGGAGAAGGCGGCACGTGCTTCTCTTAGTCAAATATTAGCAGAACTATATGAAATATAAATATAAGCAGAACTATATGACATTCAGATGAGAGCAGAGAACGGGGTCTGGGGGATGCAAACTATCACAAGAGGACAATTCTCTTTGGATTTAGGAAAGGGTGGAACAACAGACAACCAATCAGGTCCGCAAGTCAAGACACAAGGGTGACGAGTGTAGTGTAGTCTATCTGCACAGGACAGAAAATAGTGACTGTTTTAAAATTATTAGTAAAATGCTTATGGGTGATCTAAGTGCTCATCACATGACTTCACTCCTCCCTGGAATACCCATGCCACCCCCCTCATCTTACAGCCTTCCAACTTAAAGCACAAGAGCATCTTCACTAAGATGAAGTTCTTGCTAACTAGCAGGAACGCTCTCAGGGAAGGTGGCCGTGGCCACAGGAAGTGTACCGATTTGAGGGTGTTCTTCAGCCCCAGGGCCTGATGGGAAGGCAGCTGGCAGGCCTCATGCTGCATGAAGTCCTTCATTCGCTCGCGTTCCGAGGACAGGGCTCCAAAGGCGGACCGCATGGCGCCGTTCACTGTGGGTCCGAGAGCAATCAGACAATTCTGTACTCCTATTAAAGACGGTTGCTCATCATGGTAAGAAGAGAAATGCTTGATAGACAGAAAGAAAGGCAGCAGGGAGATCGAAGTCAACCTCGCTTGGGCATGCTGCTACGTCAAGATGAAGACAAAACTGAGAGCTAGTCATTGTAAAACACCGTTTTTAAATGTATGTTCAAAAATCTTAAAGGCTGATTTATAAGAATAAGAAAAAAATGTATGTTGTTGTTATTCTGACAGAAACTGAATTCACTTCGAGGCCGTCTGATGCTGGTGGGGAAGACAAGTTCTTCGTTGTTTTTTCTCAGGTTTGCGTAGAAAGTCTATCCACTCATGACAGCCAGCTAGCAGACATTTTGTTGTTTATTTTTGGCCAAAACACCTGGAAGCTGCCTCTTTTTGTACTGTTTTTTCAGTTGAAAGATTACTCTACCTTGTATCTCTTAACTCAGAGATAATTGCACTCATTTCCATAAAAGTATAGTGGATAGAGTTTTAAAAATCACATTCCTGTGATAAAGGTTGGCACATGAATTCAGGCATCAAACACAGATCTGGACTCACGGTCTCTCGCCACCCGATAGAAGTCCTCCAGGATTTTGGACGCCTCCGTGGGCGAGTCGGGGGTCTCGGGGTAGACCTCATGGCTGCTCAGCTCGATGGTAGAGAGGTTCGGGTTGGAGGAGTGGAGGCGAATGGAGCCGGAGGATATGCAGCTGGGTACCTGGGAGACATGGAGCACAGCCGGTCGTGTGTGTGTGGGGGGGGGGGGGCATTAAATATCTTTGTGCATGAGCGGCAGGGGGGAGATTACAAGGCCACAGAGGCCAGGCTTAATAATAACAACAAAAGTAGATTTAGAGAGAGAATCTCTTACCTCTGCCTGATGAAGAAATGGAGAGAATAAAATGAATATCCTTATTCAGAAAGTCGAGGGAGAATAGAGCAAAACTGAGGCTCAGGGGACCTACCTGTGCAGTGAACATGTGCCTCGTCGCGGGCACCTGGAGAGTCATTTTGCCGTCTTTCCCACAATTCTTTGAGCGCCATCTTCTGTGAGTTCTCTTCTCCTTTTTGCCAGCGATGTCAAAGGAGGATGGCTGACAAAACAGAAGAGTATCTGATTACTCCGTAAATCACATGAGTGATTCTAGCATTTTAGGGTCGCCGTGTGACTTTGAAGTATCGTTGAGGACTGAAGGATAGGATTTCACATACAGGGAACGTGGTCATGGATGGTGTGGAACATGTCCGGTGAAGAATGTCCATGTTTCTCAACAGGTGGTCCATCTCCTGAAGGTAGGACTCACAAGCCGAAAGGCCTGCAGGGACAAGGATCACTGCTAAGGCTCAGTGTTACTCCCGCTGTAGCCCTGTCCTGTACTTTAAGTTGCTTTTCATAGAAGTGGCAGGTAAATGAGTAAATGGTGATCCCTCGCCAGGGAGGGGAATGTAAACAAAGCTTTCTCAAACTATGAAGCCCACTGACTTAGAGAACATTGTGGGAAGATCTGGTGATCGCCCTACCGTCGTTGACCTTCTTCATTTCTTCAGAAGACTGTAGCCAAGATGTGAACTTGCCCTCGGGGTGTCCTGGCGATTGGTTTGTCAGTGTTGTGCGCTGTGTTGGACGGACCAGAAGCACTACATCATCGTCAGTACAAACCTTTGGTTGTTAAACCTTCTGCATTTACACTTGTAACACTCAAACTTTTAGTTAAAACTTTTTGTTATGGCTTCTTTGAAAAGAAACTAACTCCACACAAAGAATTGCACAGGCATTTTTAATTATCTTGTTGATTCCATACAAGGTGAATGTTTTGCCCATTCAGTCATCTGGATATTCTGTTGAAGAATAATATTTTCCTCGAGGATACAACATCAGCAATCTGACATGTGACTTGCTACCCAGAGAGGTAGGAAATGAATATTAACCTGCCCGTGTTCAGACTGGACCTGTCATTATACCTTTCTCAGGGAAGCAGTCTGTGTCAGTCCAGGAGATATCATGGTGGGATAGTGCAAGCAGAACTGCGACATCTCATTGGGATACATCGCAATCTCATTCTGACGGAAGACACGGTGAGTTCTTAGCTTAAACACCCACTCCTCAAACAGCTCATCGGTTGGGACCTGTGCAAAGAAACGTGTATTAGAACCACAATTCTTAGACATTATCTGTGATAGCGATCATGTCAAGTGCATTGATTTATGAGTCCATTGTCTCTGGAATATTTAATATTGACTCATTCATTAACTATACCTCTTTGGAGTAATTGTTTTGCATTGCAAATGGAACTATCAGTCAGCTGTGAAATTGGATAATTTCCGGGGATAACGGAGTGGGAGCAGGGAGGCATAAAGCAAAAAATGTTATGTTTCTTCCTTTGCTTCCGTTCATTGCTTTCTTCTCCTCTGCTGTTTGCATCGTTACTTAGAGATCTGCTCAATCCAATCATCTTAAACTCTGGAAAATCAATACACAGATGCCTGAAAGCAGCAACTATCTATTCTGCAGAAGTTTAATAATCAAAGTTCTAATAAAAGAAACTGTGGGAAACATGTTCTACCGGAGAATTAGATTACAGGTTTACAAGGTGAATCTGAACCTCTTGAGGTTTAACAGCTAACGATCTGTGAGATTGAATCTGTCAAGAGGCTTGTAGGAGGCTGTGTTTGGTCTTGTCTGGTGCCTCTTCTCTTCTCTTTGGTGGTGTTGGGTCTTTGGGGACCAGTGATCACGAAAGGCTCACTTTCCCTGTTTACAAATTGATCGCTGTTTGTGTCACTGGGAAGTCTGACTCATGATCTTGTTATCTGTGGCTTAACTGTGACCCTCACACCTATTAAAAAAGCCATAAGCAAAAGTAAATACACACCCAGAAGGGTACGATCAGGCAAATTAGGGTCCCTTTAACAAGGTGGTGAAACTAGGGACGTATTTAAAAAATGGGCTCTGGTCCATGCCCTTTCAGTATATTCCATTTTAACAACTAATGTGTGTGCACAGATACAAAGATCTGGTTGACTACAACTGGGTGTGGAACAGCGGTGTAAGGAGAAATGATAGGTAAACTGAACAAGGAACTGCAATTAAAGAGCAATTTGCAAAGTATGACCACTGCTGGGTCTGTTGATGCTTGGTACCTCTGACCGTTCCTCAGATTACGGCCTAAGCTTCTCCGTTCAGCACAGGGTGCTCTGTACCTTCAGGTGATAGATGTTTTCTTCGGCGTCCAGGTCGATGCACAGGCCCTTCTTCTTAATGGACATGACTGACAGCCCCACATCGATACGGCCGTGCAGCTTCCCCTTCCGGATCTGGGTGGAGAAGACACAAGGACATCACCCGAACGTGATTCCATGTGGAGACACCCAGAGAAAACCTGCAGACCAGAGGCTCTCGTGCAAAAACAGACATATTTACAGACATGAGGAGCATGCCGATGTAAACCCCCCCCCCCCCAATACTCACGTCAGTTCCACACTTAGCATATTTCAGGATGCCCTTCTCCAGCACGAAGTATCGCTGCGGGAAGAATGAACACGGTGAACGACAAGGACGTGACAAAACGTGAAACGCTGCCACACTCACTGTGTCACGAACAGTGTCACTGTAGTTTCATTTTTTAAAATCTTGTTTTCATTTTCATATTATTTTCAATCTCCATTTGAAATCTGATTTTGTTTTAGCTAGCTTTTAGTGTGGCTTTTTGTGACGTTTTTATTTCTAATATATATTTCTATTTAGTTTTCTGTTTTCGTGTCTATTTTAGTAATTTTATTTCTAGATTTAACCTCGCAGATCTATTTTGTGTGTCTGATCTTTAGTCCTGCATGAATACGCAGTAAACGTTATGTAGTAATATCCTCAAAATTGCCAAAAATTGTTCCACACATTATTAGTGGTATTAAAGATAAACAACTAAGTACTTTAGCTAAATAGTTTTTAAAATTGCTAATGGTACAGTATTTGACATTTGTCTTTCTCAGATAGTTTCAGAAGTTGTACTTGTAGTTTATATTTAGTTGCAATTGTTTATTTTATTTTCGAATCTTATTTTATTCCAGTAAACAATTCCGTTAATAATCCTGGTTACAAACACGAACTTGCGTTTGAACCTCTACCTTTTGCCCTTGACTGTCGAGAGGTTGGTAAAGCTACTCAGATTCTTCTAGAAACTTCTAGTGAAGCCCCTAAATTTGTGGCATGTGACCCCACCTTGTGCCAGCCTTTCATGGGCCACTTCCTCTTCTTCAGCAGCAGACCCTCCTGCTTCGGTGGCTCCTGGACGATCTCCAGGGCGCCACGGAGACCCTCCACGATCTCCCAGCTGTCCTGTGGGGGGGGGGACGACGCCGGGGCTGAGTGCCGAGCGGCCGCCCTGAGGCGCGTGACTCACAACGCTCTGCATAATGCTGACTAATTTAATCAGCGCTAATTAGCACCTGGGCTGGAGGTGAACGTCAGCCCCAAAGCTCCATCCACCGTGACGATAAATTACGCCTCGGGCTGTCGATCCTCCCATGAGGAACCAGGGAGATGATGCAGACCGAAATCAGACCCCTGTACCTGCAGGGTCAGCATTTAGGTCAGTCCCTCTCCTTTGTCTCTATGCCCCAATTCTCACTAAAAGACACACGTCTCCACCATGCCCAACCACTACCTGGAGCGGAAATAGATCAGTGTCACTCTGCTTCCCTCGCTCTCACAATCCGTCCCTCTGTGTCACACTCCAACCGTATTCCTCAGCTAATACATGGACTAGCTAATATCTAACTAGCAAACGCTTCTCTCCAAAGCCAGCTACTGTAAGAACGTAGCATAAAGCGCCATAAAGAAACCATAACAACCGGCCTGCAATGTTACACAATCATCCTTGATGTGGCTTTTGGTGACAGCCAGGCCAGCTGAAGCGCACTGTGCCTGTGTGACACAGGAAACTGCATGTTTCTGCAGCTCAAATTCAGTGAGGGGCCAATCTGCATAAGCTGCACTGACATATACACGACCAGAGCACGAGCGGGTCAGCTACACATAAGGGTTTCACTGATCATGCAGTTTATTAACAGGGTATATTTGACCATTTGCAGCTTAATTACATGTACAAAAAGGTGGAGTGACAGAGGAGAAGGATGGGGGCGTGTAGACACTACCAGTCAAACGTCTGGACACACCTGCTTTTAATGCATTTGTCCCTATTTTAGGTAAGTTATTCATCTTATAGTAAAAGGCCTTGAAGCAATGAAGTAATACGCATCAAATATTGCAACAATGAGGAGAAGTTTTCAACATCTCAAAATGTTCTCAAATTTCAGACTCTTCAAAATAGCCCCCTTTGGCTTAGATGACAGCATTGCAGACTCTTGGCATTCTTTCAGCAGCTTCCTGATGTAGCCACCTGGAATGCCTCTCCAACAGTCCTGAAGAAGGTTACACAAGTTATGGCCACAAGTTGGCTACTGTGTCTTTATGCTTCAATCCAACTCATCCCAAAGCAGCTCTATAGGGTTTAGGTTGGGGGGGGGGGTTGTGGGGGCCAGGTCATCTGTCATGGCACTCCCTCTCTTTCCTTCTTCACAGGATAATACTCGCTATAAAACCTCGAGGTATGCTTTGGGCTGTTATCTTGCTGAAAAACAAATGATTTTCAGTTGATGTGTCCAGACTTTTGACTGGTGCTGTATAATTACAGGAAATGGTATAGAGACAATGTGCCTTCCGGGACGTGTGACATAGCCAGCGGGGGCGGCGCGACCGTGGGAGTGACTTTACTCTGAGAGCATCTGACAGAGCAGAGGAGAAATTGCCCAGTGCAGCCTTAATGGGAGCAGTTGCCTGGATGCTGCATGTAACTACAAAACTGGGCCCTAACTGGAGACCCATATTTCAGTCAATACTGAAGAGTAGGAAGGTGGGAGTGAAGCAGACAGGCCCAAGATGAACAATAGAGAGTGACACTAAGGATTATGGGATTGCAGGCTCATATCACATGCATGTAAGGGCAGTATTATATTTTATTAGATTAGTACAAGTTGGTGCTATATCTGATATACGTGATAACGTGGTGTGTGTCTTGGGGGGGTGATTTCAGAGCGATGAGTCAGATGTTCGGGAATACCGCGGGTTACCTGCCGCGAGCCATGTTTGGACAGGCAGCTGGCGTCGCTCCGGGCCATTGGCGGTACCTTGTGGGCTGCGCCGCTGCTCATCTCAGTGGCACTGCGGGGGGGGGGGTGTGGGCGAGAACTAGCCTCACAGATCTCTCCCAGTCACTGACCACATCGCTCTTTTCCTGCAAAAGCGGGCAGCAAGGAAGAAGACGCAGATATAAAAATCACGCCGCCACTAAATTCAGCCTCCTTTTGGCTTGATGATATGTACATGTCACCTTTAGCTGTATGGTGAGAGTCACAGAGGAAGTGATGGGGTACACTGTCACCTACCTTCCTCCCATTACCACGCATTACCTCATTTTTGCAAATAACTCACTAAATTTATTGTATTGTACATATCATACACAATTTAACATTCCTTGTACGACACTCCTTCCATACAGTTACCAAGCACATTGTCTATATTAACCGGACTGCATGTGACCATTGTACTGTCCTATGTATGAAATGGTAGCACTTTATTGATCCCTGTGGGAAAATTCTCTTTTTGTTTATTCCATCTTCCATTCTAGCCCTGACACACATGTAGGTCAAAACAAGCTTGGCAGTGAAGGGCAGCCACCTGTAGCAGCACCCGTGGAGCTGGGGGGTTAAGGGCCTCGCTCAGGGGCCCACAGATGTAGCTATTTTCCCAAGGCTGGGATCGAACCGCCAACCTTCCTATCACTGAGCCACACCCTGCCCCCTACTCGCTCTGTGTGTGTGTGTGTGTGTGTGTGTACAAACTTGGCCAATAAACCTGATTCTGATTTAACACAACCAGTGATGCTCCTAACTGGATAGAGCATCTGGGGGTGGGGCCCTCCAGGTCAGTAATACTTGGGGGGTCTGCAGGTCCTTCAGCAAGGCCCTTAAGCTCCAGCTCCCTGAGTGCCGCTGCATGGCTGCCCTCTATGGACAACTTACTCTATGAAGAGCAAGCTGAGGGAGGCGTAAAGACAATTTCCCTACAGGGATAATAAAGTGTCAATTATTATTATTATTAAGTTCACAAAAACAACTGAATGTTCTAGAAAAACAGGAAACCTAGAAAAACGAGAAGCTTCACTGTTAGTATTTACACACTGGCGAATCTCAACAGGGCTACCAGCCAGAAAAAAACCATTAACCATTATAATTTATGTATAAAGTGATTATGAAGCACAAATAGGGAAGATATGTGGCCCAGCAGGTTAGGATGTTGTGCCAGTGATCAGATGGTTGCTGGTTCAAATCCTCTAATCACAGGAGTGATTTCACTGTTGGGCCCTTGAACAAGGTCATTAACTCCCAGTTGCTCCAGGGACTGGCTGGCCCTGTTTCCTGGGATGTACATCACTTCAGATAAAAGCATCTCTTAAATAAGCAAATGTAATAATTACATCAAAATAAGGTTACCTATTCCCAGTTCAACATGTAGATTCAGGTAAAGTTGCCATTTTGATAAAGAAAGGCATTCGGGCAACTCGAGCCAGTAATGCCTTCCAGTCAGGCTATACCAGGAGAGGCCTGTAATTTAATGTTCTTATGTGTTTACAGCCAGTTTCAAGGCCAATCCGCAAATGACTATTTATGGATATAATTGTGAGAAGTTTTCAAAAGAAGAGAAAGGAAGGTATAAGCTGCTATAGCTGAAACAGCTGCTACGACAGTGATTATTAGCTAATCTGCTACACTTATAAAGGAAAACTGAAGGTCAGCCTCTTCCATACAGGTTCTCAATTTAATTCCACATCAGCCTGGATTTTTATACGATTCCTGTCCTGAAATTGCTCCCTCCTTCCATTCACTGTGAGTGCAGGAATTAAGAGATATCGTTCTGCTCCCCGACCTCTGCCTCCATTAGTCCTTCTCTAACATTTGTAGCTAATGGCACAATGCAATCAAAACAATTTATTTTGATTTCCGCTTCCTAATATAATTAACGCGCGTGATTGTGACTCAGCAGCCGAAGGAACTTGCTCATGTGCGACGCACTGATTTCACAGTGTAATCCGCTATATCTAAAGGATACTGTGTGAAATAAAAGTGATTCAACACAAAGTGTCAGTTCTTACAACAGTCCTGCCTGACATTGCTAATCTATTTAAATGCATAGAAATCAACTGACCCTCCTGGTTTCACAAACATATGGTGATTTTATCCTCAGAACCCAAAGAAATAATAAATAGCTGGAAGACTGAATGCGCTCTTCGACTTACGATGGGGTTACGATCCAATGAACTCACCAGAAATGGAAAATATCAGAAGTCAAATATTAATATCGTATAACAAATAAGTAAAAAAAACCTAAATACTGTCACTAGCTAAGTAAATAAATAATTTCTGCAACTAGCTATATACCAGTAATTGAAAATAAAATAAATGAGGTTTATCTGGTTAAACCCGTAAGAAAACACTGTACGATACGCTGATAAATATTTACGAGGTGTTTACGCAACCTATCTCTATAGAGACTTGAAGCGTGGCTGTGCACAAGCTACCGACACCCAGCATCGGTACAGAATATCGTACAGCATATCCTTAGCCTGGCAAGAGATCACGCAGACGACCGAATGTACAGACTACCGAATGTACAGACTACCGAATGTACAGACTACCGAATGTACATCGCTGTCACACGATAGTGAATCAAACCAACATAAAGCGAGAAGCATCTGTATAAGAAAACAAGGAAGACAGAACATTTTGCGGAAAATACTCAATGTGAGCTGTATTAAATGTAACTGCAGACCCAACAAGATAAACATCTCGCGTTGCATTATGCACTCCCATGCCCAAAGTATCTGGCTATATGTTTAGATCATCTGGCAAACATTTGCATGGTGCTTCCAGGTTTAGGTGACATTTCCATAACCTAACGTCAAGCTTCTGACCTCTCTCACTGCACCGATGGATTCATCGGTGCAGTGACCTGTAGCTGATTTCCAAAGCACAAGTTAGGGGTATACCCTGGATGAGACGCCCATCCACCACAGGCCACATGCACAGAGACACACACTACAGGAAATTTAGAGACGCCAATTAGCCTAACAGTATGTGTTTGGACTGGAGGAGGAAACCCGCATGACAGGGGCACCCAGAGGGGATTTAAACCGCCGGGTCCGCAGGTGTGACTCAGCAGGGCTGCCCAGTGAGCCTCCATGGCACCACTTCCAGTTCAGGAATAATTTTTAAAAAATCACATGTTGCACTCCAGTTGAATAGTGGGAAGTCATTGAGCTGCGGAGAACATCCTGTTTGTGTAGCGTGCAATAAATCCACCGCAAATGCATGCAGGCGAGAGCCGGGGGCGAGAATCGAGAAACAACAGTCTTTTTATAGATTCGGTGGAATAATAAAGCTGCTTTTGTGTCTTTTTGCCTGTACATTCTCCCATTTAGAGAAGCAAATACATGATGTTGTTGTTTACATCTCAAATCGGAGGGCTGCTGAGTTCACAGAGATGCACAACCCTTCAGCACTGCCTGTTGATACTGATGTTTTTCTCTGATTAAAAAAAAAAAAAACATGGTTTAGACATCCTTCAAAGGTACAATACACTCCAACAGGATGTGGTTTGGCACACCATGCTCCCCATCCTGTCAAGGCTGAGAGAAACTGGTTTTCCCAGCATGAAGGTACGTGGGGTGGAAATGGGCTGGACTGGACCTGAAGAGTCGTCACTGCATGCTTGAGGTGTGTATAGTTAGCAATGAAAACATCACACCGTCCCATCCTTACCTCCCTATAAAATCCCAGTCAAAGGTACAAGAGCAGTTTCTACTTGTTTAGCCTTGAGGGTGTTTATCTCCTGCCAAGGCTTGTTAGTTTTACTCGGTACTGGAGACCACCATTCCATGTGATGTCATCAACAGGGACCTACTCAATTTCCAAAGTCACAGGCCCCGAGGACAGGAATGCTGACGCAACCTGCATGTGTCTTAAGATCCTCCAGCAGCAATGCATGGCATCTGTGGTAATACTAAGGTCACTCCCAGGATGTGACTACACAGTGGGCTGGTCTGTGGTCGGCTCCGAGCTCTGCTAACGGTGGCTGCTGCTGTCTTGCAATGAGATACCGACTAGACATCAAAAGCGGAGAAGAGCGGTGGTTGGTGAAGAAATGAGGTTGGTTAAGAGATGAGGTGCTGAACATCCCTGATTAGGCAACAAAATGTTACAATTACATGAATCACAATTCATGACTGTCATTGTTTTTCATCCATCCATCTAAGAGTGGATTATCCTGTTACACCAAATTCATTGTAGGAGTAAATGTAAGGGCAAAAGACTGATTGTTTTAGCCATATAAACCATATAATACAGATTATATGAATGATACATTATAAACTTTTACACATAATCAGATAACAGACAGCTACAGGCCCCTATATTTTCAGCATTACACCCAGTCAGTAGCAGAGGGCATCCATATACTGTATTAGCTGTATTACCACATTTCGTTATTTTGAGCCAAAAAGGACTCCGCAAAGATCTTCTTCAGTTTAAGATTGCAAATGTCTAAGAAACATAACATCAGTCTGACAACCTTTCCCCTGAGTGTCTGGGGTCTTTGTTAGTCTAGGGTATTTGTTACACTGGGTCGCTACAAGACTGTCCAGGGTTTTCTTCCCCTCTGCACTTGTGTCTCTGCGCCTTTGCCTTGTGGCTTAATCACAAAGATTAATCATATCCTTGCCCTCTTCTAAATCAATCCCTCTCTCCACCTCCAACTGTGCCTCCAAAGATTTGGGGCTACGAACTCAACAATGTCAGTGCAGTTCACCCGCATGAAGTTTCATATATAACGTTTCATGCAGCACAGGCAAAATTACAGCGCCTGACAAATATCGCATGACAAAACAGATCCACCATAAACAGACAATGCGACCTTTAATAGAAACACACAGAAACCAACAGCTCATCGTAGCCCCACCCACAAGCCACAACCCAGGGGATTATTAACTGTT